GGTCCCCAATAGCTGATGATCATCAGAAGCATTCTCCGGTGAGTGCCCGACCCTCCTGTTTGGGTGCGGCTGAACATATGCCAGAGGCTCGTGAGAGGGATAGTCCAGATGCCCCGAATTCGGATAGTTGTTACAAGTACTTGTAGTATCTTGTAGTATCTTCACTCGTTTGGGTGATGTGCGCCGCTCTGTGCTTCACCAACATGGTGCCAGGTCCTTTATCAGTCCCAGAATGGCCAAGTGGCTCGTGGAAGCTGCAGGCGGAGGGAGAATGAATCGCGACGAAAGGGGTGGGATAATGGGAAGAAAACCGCATGTGAGGCAGAACGAGTAGATCATGCTACTGTCCCTTGCAAAGCAATTTTCATGGGCCAGGACCTTCCCAGTGACCGAACTTCAGGATTGGTATACGTGACAAAAGGGCCACCCTGGGGAAAGTTGTTTGTAATGCTTTTAATAGTGGCCGTATAGTGGCCGTATGACTTGGTGTCCTCCTCCTCCTCCTTCTCCTCCGCCTCCGCATCGTCCTCAACCGCCAGCTCCGGATGGCAGTGTTCTCCGCCGGACCTCAACCGCGAGTTCCGCTTGGCGGCGTTCCTCGCGGGACCTCAACCACAAGCACCCACAAACACACACAAACACACAACCACAAACACACAGCCACAAACACACAACCACAAACACACAATCACAAGCACAACCACAAACACACAATCACAAGCACGCAATCGCAAACACACAGCCAGAAACACACAATCACAAACACAAAGACACAAACACACAACCACAGCCACAAGCACAAACACACAACACACACAGCGACAAACACCATCACAGACACACAAACACACAACCACAAACACACAATCACAAACACACACAGACAGAAGCACACAATCACAAACACAAAACCACAAACAAACACAATCACAAACGCACAACCACACAACCACAAAGACAATCAGAAACACACGCCCACAAACACAATCACACAAACACAAACACGAGCCACAAACACAAGCACACAACCACAAACACACAGCCACAAACACAACCACAAACACACAGCCGCAAACACAAACACACAACCACAGGCAAGCAATTACAAGCACACAGCCAGAAACACACACAACCACACAGGCACAAACACACAACCAGAAGCACAGAATCACAAACACACGCACGCAAACACACAACGACAAACACCATCACACACAACCACAAACACGCAAACCACAAACACAATCACAAACACGGCCACAAGCAAAGCCACAAACACAATCACAACCACGCAGCCACAAACACACAACCACCAGCAAAGCCACAAACGCAAACGCATAACCACAAACACAAACACAACCACAAACACACAATCACACGCACACAGCCACAAACACACAACCACACACAACCACAACAATATGTACAATATATATAATTACCTGTGTGTGTGGCGTTTTGCGTGCCAGGCGGCCACAGGGTACTGTAGCACTTTTGGATGCCAACTGGAGACCCTGGCGACGCCCCAACGCGAACTCCCCAACACTACAATAACAATCCCAAGCCCGAGGAGACTAACTGCGTGAAACACCCCAGTTCAAACTACATGACGATAGTTTGTCTTTATCCTTCCACAATCTTGAAAGAACCTCCCGAGGTGGTGAGGGCATTCTGCAGAAAGCCTGGACGTATACCACCATCAATCTTTGCGAGTACATTGCCCGTAGGGAGAACCTTAGGGTTGCCCTGATCCGGGCGCAGCAAGGAGCCTACAGCGGACCCCCCGCCGACGAAGCCAGCTCAGCGTGCCAAAGGTTTTTTAGCTAATCCCAGCGACTGTCCAGCCGGTGTAGAAGGACTGTCCTTTGGGCTATGCAGGGCTGCTTTGTATGGATGTACATGGTTCCAAATCAACCCGCCTCTTGATCTCATTCCGGACAACCGGGCCCGGATGCGATGAGGTGACTACAAGGATCTCGATGCCAAGAAGAGTGAGGAGCCCCAGCGAAGGCCTCATAGCTATGAGACATCGGATGAGGTATGGCCTCGAGATGATGGAGAGGAAACCGATGATCTCAAAGAAGAACTGCGCAGAAAGCGCAAGAAGTTGGAAATGAAGCCCTTCGTCAGGGAGAATCGTGAGCGTCCTGCCCACGAGCGATCTGGCATTGGTCGTGGAGAACTTCCAGAAGATCCTCGAAAGAATAGGCCAAAGCACAGCGAGGCTCCGCCGCCCAAGCGTCCTCCAGTGCCTGTCGCCACAAGAGGCAGGGAGAGATGTGGAGACGGAGCTTGCACCCATTCTTGCATCCGCGCGACATCAAAGTGCTCAGCCGTCTGAGCCCGATTCAGGAGCGATGCCGCAGACTCAGAGCCAGGTGTTTCGGGACAAACGCTAGCGCGACAGGTTGCTACTCCATCCGGCTCCCCGCACGGATCGCGAAATTGCAGCAAAGATGCTTAAGGTATGTAAGTCCGGCCGGTTCGGCATTATCTTCCAGCGCATGGTGGAGGGATCCCATCTCTCCGGAATCGGGATGCCCTGTGGACACATAATGCTAGCCACCATCTTCCGCCATTTCCAGTTGGAAAAGGATAGGATAGGTATGCTTGGTGAGCGCCATCTCTTGACCCTGCGGTTGAAGGGAAGCAAAACTGAAGACCTCATCACAGTCCAAGAGAATTATGGGTATATCCTAGCAGCCATCCCCACGGAAGACCTTCCCAGGGAGACGACGCTGTTCAGCCACCTCTTGGATGAGTTAGAGCAATGGCAGGCCATTGACAGAGCGATCTGGCTTGTGGCCGCTAGTTCCAAAGACAATGTGGAGGCTTCGACTTTACGATTGCAAAAGTAGAGGCAGCGCATTCCTTGACCAACAAAAATCTGAGATTCAAATTGTCGGCCTACAAGGCCGAAATAGATCGATCGAGGAACTGTCTAATCAAAAAGAGTGTCCTACAAGAGTGTCCCGCAAGACTTTCCCACAAGAGTGACCTACAAGAGCGTTTCGCAAAAGTGTCCCACAAGAGTGTCATATAAGAGTGTCCCATAAGAGAGTCCTGCAAGAGTGTTCCACAAGAGTGTCCGACAAGAGTTTCCTACAAGACTGTTTTGCAAGAGTGTCCTACAAGAGTGTCCCACATGAGTGACAACCAAGAGTGTTCCACAAGAGTGTCCCGCAAGAGTCTCCCACAAGAATGTCCGACAAAAGTGTCCTGCAAGAGTGCCCCACAAGAGTGTCTTACAAGAGTGTCCCACAAGAGTGTCCTACAAGAGTGTCGCACAAGAGCGTCCTACAAGAGAGTTTCCCACAAGAGTGAGTGGCATACAAGGTGTCCCACAAGAGTGCACAAGAGTGTCCCACAAAGGTTTCCGAAAAGAATGTGTCCTACAAGAGGTTCCCCCAAAAGTGTCTCCTGCAAGAGTCAAGAGTGTCAAAGATTGTTTGGGTGTTTGTTTTCTAGAACGTGTTTGCATTCGGTTACGCGGGTTCCATTTTTTCAGGTGTTGGCTTGGACGGATCGGAGCTCGTGCAGCGGAGAGACAAGAAGGATCAGCCGATGCTTGGATCCTGAAGAAAGCTTTTGTCCTACTCAGACGGACCCTCAATCCCAACCATTCGGTATCATTCCACGAAGAAGTGGCTATGGTAATCTATGGCACATAGCTTCTAAAGGCTTACCCAGAGGCTCATGGACCCTTAAACAGCTACATGTTGGTTCGGTCTAAACATCCTACTTTCTGAGCCTTTGGGTACAAAGGAAACGTGGATCTCCTGCCCAACCGAACCCTTGGGGATTGGGGACCCCGGTTCGCGGCTCTGTGGCTTTGGCACTCGGGTTCAGTGAGGATTGGAGAACAATCCCAATCAGTGGAAACGTATCTACACGCATGATGAAAAAACAATCATCCATATGTAACATATACCTAGAACTTCGTTACGGCAATAATAATTGCCGTTTTCATGAAACGTCGCCTTTTTCCGTTCTGCGGCGTTCTTCCATATTGATCTCATGGGGACGGCGTTTCTTGATGAACTGTGGCAGTTTCGGTCAGTTGACAGCAATTTTGGTCCACACATCAAGGCGCCTCAAAGAGTCAGTGCGTTTTGGTGCAGGCGAGTATGAAGACATTGTAGGGCTTTGCATGAAAGGCAACTGAACGTAAAAGGCGTCTAATTATATCAGCAAATTCGCATAGTCCTGTGAAGTGGAAAGGGCAGCTGATGGAAGTGTCACATTCTGGGTTTTCGTTGGTTTTCGGGAGTACCTCGACCTTTTGCGTGGCATTGCAGAAGATTTAGCGTTTAAAGTTACGGCGTTCTTACCCGTACTTGCGGCGTCTTTCCCCGTACTTACGGCGTTTTTCCCCGTACTTGCGGCGTTTTTGACCCTACGTCGTTCCCCGTACCCTGTCTATAGGGACACTCAAGGTGGCAGCAAGACTTGTCACAACCGATCCTTTCAGCCATTGCATGATCAAAATGTGAACAGATCCTGCCGTGATGTCAATCGAGACCATAGACAAGGGCTGCAACATCTTGAGAAGTGCTACCATGAGGCTTGAAAACGATGAGCTCGACTTGCAATTGAAAAAGGAGAAGGCAATTTCAGGGTATGGACGGACCAAAACAATAACCTCTTTGGTAGATCAATCAACCAAAACGTCGTTTCTTCTTTTGTGACGGCGTTTTCACTTCTCTGACGGTGTTTTCACTTTCCAGGGGGTGAGCTACGGCAGAAAAAATGAGTTACGGCAAAAAATATTGCCTCAACAGCCTACGGCAAAAATTATTACCTCAGGAGGGTCTAGGTATACATGTCAATACTACGCGACAACATGCAACAACCAGAGGTTTCCAAGCACAACCAAAAAAAAATGGACCGCATCCTCCACGCAAATCGCGGGAACCGATGCGCCGATCGATGCGCTGAATTCATGCGCCCCGCTATGCGCGTCGCTGCAATCGAGGATCCATTTGTCCCGGTTCCCCTCCATGGCGGCGGAGCGCTTGGCCTTCTTCTTCCAGTCTTTAGCATGGATCCAGGCACTGTTGAGGGGGAGACTTGCTTTTATACAGTGGTATTTTTGTATTTTTTTTTGGCCGTTTTTCCCTCAAAACTAAAAAAGTCAATTTGGATGCAAAATCAATTTTCAATTCTCGTTTACCTTTGAAGAAATGTGTTCATGTCATGCTTCACCTAAGCAGCAGCGCACAGAGGCAAATCAAGTAACGCACGCTAGATATTAATAATCTATCATTCACTGCACCGTTTTTGGAATGTGGTTGCTGTTTCAAAGCTCTAACTTTTCAATGAGCACCTCAAACTCGTTTGAGCCTTCCACATTCCTCGTCTACGCACAAGAAAATTAATTTTCACATTTGTGAAGATATTTGGCTTGCTCGTTGCTCCTTTGGGCCATTAATCTCACCTAGTGTAACTTCAGGGTGCGTCGCCCCAGGTGCCCAGGCCTTTGGCTGCTTCGGCCAAGGCCTGTGCACTTGTCATGACGCTATGTGAGAAGGATTCTGCATACAAGAAATGGAAGCGCTTATGCGACAAGTGGACTCATGAGTTTCTGTTTTGAGCCCACATGATCCTGAAGGTGGGTCATGGCTGTCAGACCAAGAGCAACCGTGGGGCATTGGTTGCAAAGCGTGCAGCTTCAGCAAATGCAGCAGTAAGTTCGCTATGTATGCTGTCAGAGAGGCAGGCTCCCTGCAGCAGGAGAACTTAAAAAAATACATGCGCGTACCAAGGCTCGCAAACTCTCAATGGGTGGCACTACGCTTGGCTGCTTGGCTTCCTGGCTGATGCGGCCAGAAGCTATTTTGGCAGTGAGTCGACTAAGGTCAGCTTCCTGGCTGATGCGGCCAGAAGCTTTTTTAGCAGTGAGTCAACTAAGGTCAGCTATGGGGAAAACAATCCAAGTTTTGCACCAAAGCCCTGGTTTTCCTAACTTCAGTCAAGTCGTCATCCATGTCCAGCTCGGTATAGTGTTTGCTTTCAGCTTGGGGCTCAAATTTGAGGCTAAGTAGTTAACACTTAAAAGAGTTCAATGGCTAGCTCCTTTGCAGCGCTCATGCCTGTGACAAGTCGCGCTGAGAAAAGTTCACACGAAGAAACTCAGTTTCTGCACTTTGCAACCATGGAGCCGTCAGAGGTTGCTTCTGGCTTTTCCTTTGTTCCAAGTCCTTGACCGGGTGGAACGCACAAGAAATGCCCTACTCTGGACTTGGCAACATTTGCCTGAAGAAGCAGCGGATGCGTTGGAAGACATTGTTTTTGCTTTGGATATTTGCACCACAATCGCGTTGTCCGACCTTCACTCGCGACCAAAGCACAGAATCATGACTGCTCTTCCTGCGCGTGCGCCAGGCAAGACCCTGGCATTGAATAACTATGTCAAAAATGACTTTTGGCACGCTACTGAAGTGATGGCAGCATTGTCACAAAGTCGGGCGACTCACGACCGCTTCGACTGGGACACTATGTTGGAGACTTGGTTTGGGGATTTTGCCTTTGCAGTGCAGATCGCACCTGACTCCCTTTATTTGAAGACTGGCAGCTTCAAAAGTGGGATCGTGTGGCCTAAGGCTGCAGCACGCCTTTCCAAAAAGAGCAGGCTGGGCTAACTTCGTCGCAGCAGCCGTTACTTCCATTGGCTGCTTCGGCCAAGGTTGCAGGGTTTGTTGTAGGCTTGAGGTTAAGTCACTGGCTGCTTCGGCCGGGGCTTGCTAATTAAAAAACCTTAGAAAGTTGGAAGCGGGCAAGGCGCGAGCTGACTTCTCAGCTCGAAGGTGAAAAAAATCGACGACAGTGCTTGAAAGGAGAGGGCGGTTTGACCTCTCCACCCGAGCTTCGGGAACGTTCTTGAACCTCGAAAGGAGAGGGTTTTGAGAGGGCGAAACAAACATACCACTATATAATATAGTTTTGCCCATAGTTGTCCCCTCACTGCCCTCTCCACCCGAGGCTCGGGAACGTTCTTGAACCTCGAAAGAAGAGGGCGATTTGCCCTCTCTTCTCAGACTTCAAATTGCTCGTTTGCAGCCGTTTTTCACTGAAGCAAGTTTGAAAGCTTTAGCTGCTTCGGCTAAGCTACTCCACAACGGCCAAGACTCCATTATGTTGGCAGCTCAACAGGTGACCTCATTCAGGGCGTGGCCCTTCCTAAGCTCACTGATGAATGGAGCATGAAGTGGTCGGAGAAAAAGGATCTGTATGGCAAGCGCCACTTGATCGCGGTGGGCGGGCGCACAGAAGGTGGAGAGGATGAGCCAAAAATCAACGAGCGAACCAAAGATTTGCCCGAGCCTGTTTGCTACTTCTCGCCACCGCTTGAGCTGATGGAGGAGCTCCTGCACACCTTCTATGCCAAGCTGGTGCTGGACTTGAGCCCAGCTGATGGAAAGTTGGCGTGGGCATGCGTCAAGACTAGGACTGCGTACATGGGCATCTGCTACATTGACACCCATGTCAAGCTGATGGAAGAACGGCTCCTGGACCTAATGAAGATGAGCGTGAAGGAGACTGCCTCGCCATTGTTCAATGTCAACAGTGCCTATGCGCAAGCTGTGGGGTCAACGACTTCTTCATCGCAGCCAGCGATCCCGAAGCGCAAGCCACGCCCCAAGCCAAAGGTAAAGTCGGCTCCCAAGCCAAAGCCAGCTCCCAAGGGAAAACCAAAGGCGGAGGCAAAGTCAGAGCCCAAGTCGAAAAAGCCGCGTCTCGAGGCAGAGCAGGCAGATGACGACGACAATGAAGAGGAGGAAGAGGCATTCGAGGAGGATGTTTGGGATCCTTTGGACGAGGGGTGAGTGGCCTTTGGCTGCTTCGGGCAGGGCCAACACGGTCTGCTGGCTGCTTCGGCCAGCGTTTTCAGAAACTTGCTGGTGCGGAAAAATTATTAGGTGTCTGCGTCTGGGTTGATAATTGAGGTCAGTCATGTGTGCTTAAGTTCGCAAGTTGCAAGTAAAGGATAATTGAATGGTTTGGCCCAAGGGAAAGCGTCCTTCAAAACGCAAATTTTAGTTGAATTTCACATTGCAATGCTGCGACGTCAAAACGCGCAGTTTTTCCATGATGATGGCAATAATGGAAAGGGTTGTGGCGAAACAGCTCATTTGGTTCAACAGAAACTGCTCAAGTCTTATCACCCTTGGAAGCTCTTGCAAAAATACAAATGCTTGAGCAAAAGCCAATGGCCACAGGCCCACAGACTTGCTACACACATTCTCATGAAGCTTATTTAGAGGCAGGTCGCAGCTGGGTGCGCAATCACTTGCAATCTGAAGACTGGGCGCTTTAAATTAAAGTGTGGCAAGCAATGCTAATTAAACTAGGTTTCCCACAGACTGTCGCCATGTGGCTGCTCCGGCCACTGGCGGCAGCCTGTGCGTGCGTGAATGAGGGAGCAGTGCAAGTGCAAAATGACTAGCCCTGCGCTATTTTCAAGTCTCGTTTTCTCATGTGAGCTTTCTCGTGGAAGCTATTGAATTTTATTTTCACCCCATGTATGTGTAAGTGAAAGATTTTCAACAAGACCAAGATAGCACACACACCTGAAGGGGAAAATGTGATCACAGGAATCAAACCATTTGGGAGGAGGAACTGATGAAACATAATGATGGCGTGCATCTTTGCCTTTTAGTGTTTTTGCGGTTCAGTCACCACAAAAATGTTTGAATGTTATTTTCTATTCTCGTTTTTGCAGCTCTTTCACTTCCCATGAAAACAGTCAAAAGCAGCCAAAAAAAAATACAAAAATACCACTATATAAAAGTAAGGAGAGCTGCGCTCGAGCTGAGGCGTTTCAAAAGGCGGTTCAAACAAATAACAAAAACGTGGCATGGCAAAGTTCGCAAGTTCGCACAGTTTTTCTTGGAGCGTCAAGATGGAAACGCGTTTGTTGTCGTCGATCGTGTTTTTTCTCTGGAAGGTGCATATGAAGCGGTGGTATTGGGAGTGGGAAGAGGATGCATGCGTGTTTTTGAATATTATAAGGTTTGTGTGTCTTGTTTGGATGTTTGGAATATTGCGTGGGGGACGTGTTAGTTTCTTCACAGAAACGTTTTTGGAGTCCCATCCAGTGACTTCAAACCAAGATATGACAAGGTCACTTTGAAGAACCAGGTGGATGCCCTAGGGATCCAACCACCTTCTCAGAAGGTACTTGGACCCTATCCAAACCTACATAACAGTGTCTCCAATCACCGTACCTGAGGTTCGGTACGACTGAATGAACGAAAGATCACCTCTTACAGGTTCGATCTGATCGGCTTCCGATCGTGAATCTTTGGGGATTGCAGAGCCCTTGAGGAAGCTTCACAACTCAACGATCACCTCACTGAAACTGACTCTGTTGCTCTTCTCCACCCTGACTCTTTTGCTCTTCTCTGGCTGGCTGGTTTTATGCCCTTGACCAGATCCTTGAAGGACCCTGGTGGTGGCATCACCTTTCGCGCCGAGACGGACGCGCCGCTCGGCGGCGGAAGCGGAAAAGCAAATGGCGGGAACCAAGAACGATCGCTGAGATGATGACATGAAAAGCAAGAGGAAGGCGTCCCGGGGTGGTTTGGAAGTCCTTGAAGAAGAAGGCAATTACACATGACATTAGACATATCTATATCTCTATATATAATATAATAGTAGTATCAAGGAACATGTTCAACATTCTTCAATTTTTTTGCCGGCAGATAGTATCGATAGTTTGACTCCTCCTACATCCAAGCAAGTCATTTCCATCTCACTAATTATATGTATACCTGGTTTTGCAGAACAGGTGGATGTGCATTTTCCGGAAAACTGGGTCCATCCAACTCAAGACAGCCCGGCTTCCTTAAGCAGCAACATTTAAGTCTTCAAAAGGGCAAAAAACCGCCTCGCTTTGGGCCCCGGAGGACTCATGGACCCTCAACTGCTACATGCTTGAGATCCAAAACATTCCAACACCCCAGCTTCTGAGAATCCAAAACCCGGCCTCTGAGCCTTTGAAGTCTAGACTCTGAGCCTTTGGGGCCCAAGTACGTCTTAGGAGCCCAGCTCATCAGACCTTTGGGGTGCCCCAACGCGTCCAAGGCTCACGGCCGGGATGTTTGATCCGGGCACCGTGCCGTCATTGACGCAGATCATCCCAGCGTACAACGAGGCCAGGAGATGAAGGACGACGAACAGCTCCCTTTGGTATGCCCAGAAGTTCCCCCTTTGGGCTCATGAACTACACCACCTGACAGGTTAAACCCTTAGAGCAGCCGTGACGTGGTGATTTTTCAATGATGTCATTCCGAGAGGGCAGTGGAGGTGACATCATGATCTTCGCACGCGGGGTGACCAGGTTCCTTCCAATTTCGATAGTTTGACGAACCACAAGATGTCAAAGAGTCAACTCCATGCATACTCCTGCTAATGAGAATAGTAGAATAGTTTTGACAAGTCTTAATGAACCCATGTTCTCCATACTGCTCGGGGGGAAGGAGGGGTCAGAAGATGTCAGCAAGATCTGCACCTTCTGTTTGGGGTCTCCAATGGAATCCCCTATGACTACACTACTCCTGGATCTCCAGCCAGGAGGCCCCTTTGAAGGTCTAGGTCTATACATGATGTATTATATATAATAAGTCTATATAATGTTATATACCTGGGAAACCAAACAACCAGAAACAAACGCATGTTTCCCCAGTCCCAGCCATTTCCTATGTAAATGATTTCAATATTGGAACAACCATTTGTTTCTGGTTGAGACTGGTACCGGATGTGTCGTTTCCACCGTGGCGTGGTCATCCCGATTGACCATGTCTGTGGTTTTCATTACCGACTATACCCTTTGTGCACGTAGAGCAGTCGAACAGCAAGGCGCATGTCCGCAAGTTTGGAGTACGGTTTTTATCCAGGCTCTTCAGGTCACGACATGTGTTTCCAGGCCACTGGATGAGACTCCGAAAAGGTCACTTGAAAGAAGACTTGTTAAAAAATGTGTAGTACTTTCAAGCGGTGTGTGCCACCATGTCCCCAAGACTTTATACCACACCACCATGTACCACCAGGTCGATGTCGATCTTGTTGAATGGTCGAGTCGGTTACCCGGGCAGCTGCTCGGCTCATATCACCCAGCCCGCCGACCGTCGTCGTAGGTGGTGATCCCCTCTGTGGACTTCCTCCGCGCAGGCGCTCTGCCCGAGGACGGGGAGAGAGTCCACAGAGAATCCAAGGCGCCCAGACCATGTTTTTCGGTTCGCAGCAAAAAGGGAAGCATGTTCATCCATGTTCATCAAAGCTTCCATTGTACTGATCGCTACAGAGTTGATAGTTGGTGGAAGTGGTATTGCTGTCAAAAGCAGGGGCGGCGCATGAGGCGGGTGCCTATAGGCAGTCGGACCAGTTTCCTCGTCTTCCCAGGACGCAATGAATCAAAGTCCGGACGATCAGTCTTGGGGCCCCAGCTCCGTCGGATCGGTTAACTCGCGCGTCGTCCGAAGTTCGGAGCCTGAAATCCGAAGATCCAACAGGAGTCGCAGGTGGTGACATCCTCCACTTCCATGAATAGATTCAAGGAGTCTACCGCACTGGGCGAGTCCAGTGTCCAGTGCATTTTCTGCTACACGTGGCTGTTCTGGGTACCGAGAACTTTGTCATGACAAGGATCGCTGGGCCGCAGCCGCAGCAACCTTGTTGGTGCAGCCAAAAAGCTCTGACTGCACACCTTCGGTTGAAACAGAGGCAAAACTCGGTGCGGTAGAAACGGTGACACTGAGGGTTCAGATGCAGACACTGAGGGTCAGATGTACGAAGTCGGGTACCAAGATGTCCATGCCGTGTTTGCTAACTGGAGGCAATAATATCCCATGCGAACTAAACATCCAAGGACCCTTGGGGTATATCGCGTTCCTCATCCAAGCAAGGATGGCTTGGTGCTGTTTCATGCTTTGTCATTTTTAGTTGTCCAAAGCACTTTTGGTGGATATATCATTTGAGCTGTACAAATTCTGCTGCACTCTTGCCCCTACTGTGCTTTCAGACTAAAATAAATGTGCACACATGCAGAAAGCTTTGGTATATATAGTTTGATTTGATCCCTTGAATGGTGGACACTGTTATGGGAAAACCGACTGGTGCATCCTCTTCAAGGCCTGAATCGAGGTCACTAGCCGACACTAGCTAAGACATGTCGATCAAGTGCTCCGAGGAAACATCTGGAAAACCACCAGCAGTGATCACTTCGATTCCAGCACCCCAAAGCCATTCAGATTCACAATCCCAACAACCATTTTTTGTGGATGAACTAACAATAACACTATATAACACTTGTTTTCATATTCCCTGGATATTCCAACAGTGCAACAGGTGTGCCTTTTCGTCCATAAAACCAGCCAATAGCCAAACCTTTGCAATAGAGTTGCAAGATCCAGGTATCGGGGACCCCACAAACCCTTCCTCTTCGTACCCCAGAAAATGAGACGGTGTACTTTTTTCCATGGCTTTTGCTCTCTCTCTCTCTCTTCCTTCAGTGCTTCGGCACGCATGGCGTGGGCCTCGCTCGCCTCCCAGGCACGGCATCGGCGACCTCACCGCGCCGCCGCTGGGCGACGGCGTGCCGCGGCGGCACGGAGTCGAGCCGTCCGCGCGCAGTCGGTGAACTCGAAAGAACATCCCCCCAAAGAACTCGAAAGATGCACAGCCCTGACATGGAGTGCAGAGAGAGGAGAATCGATACAGTACAAAGCTGCTAATTTGTTTCACATGATGCCATTGAGGAAGAAGAAAGGATCTTGGGACTGGAATTCAAGATTAGCATGATGCAGCAGAGTTTACGGGTACTGTTTCCTATAACATGTTTATAACAGGGTCTTGCGGATCAGGTTACTCTGAGACCTGGGGAAGATGACGTATGTCTTTCCCGGCTTCCTGGGAGCTGCAAATCCAAGAGGGATGATAAGAGAAGACTGCTTGGGGGCCAACCTGAAGTGCTGAGTGCTTGGTCGCTCGAAAAGGAAGTCCCGAAAGGAAGAAGGGAAACTGCAGTACAGAGCATCACTGATCACGGTTGGATGTTAATTGGAATCCATCCCCTAGATTTCCAAACACGATTATATTTGGTCACCTAAAGGCCAACAGATTTAGTCTTTGACTCCCAGAGTAATGGAAGTTGACAGGCCAAACTTTGACATACTTTGACCAAACCTTGTGTGTGCACCCATCCCCAAAACAGCAGCCACCCCATCATACCGGTCAGCATACACCCCATCAAACCCCACCTGCATGGAGGACGATGTTTTGAGGATCATGCACCTACGGAAAACTGGAGGCTTTAGGGAGCTTCTCCGCCGCTGAAATCCAAATCGTTTGATTTCACCGTTCTTTTCCAGGGAATCAGCGATGGTTGATAGCTTAAAAGTCTGCTCGGGAGTTTGATGTTGCTTCGGAAAACAAAGGCTTAAAATATCTTAAGCGACTTAAACGTCCATCAGACACTCGGTCGAGATCGGAGATGTATTGCATCTTCGGGTCGATGAACTGCTTCAAAAAAACCATCGGCCCAGACTTCACCTCTGAGGTGAATCCGAAGTCTGCTTGGGAGGTCCGTTTGATGAGCCGTACGCCGTCTGAGGTGAACCCGAACCTCGCCTTCATCATTTCCCAGTTCCCCGAAGAGTGGATGTTCCTCGCGAAGAGGCCGTCGACCATGGCGCGTTGGCGTCCGTCTGCGTCCGTCTGCGGCAAACGTCGGTCGACTGAACTGTTTTCAGAACGCGGTCTCAATGCGCCAGGGTCGAAGACCGCCGAGGTCGAACGGAAACAGATTAGGACATTCGGAAGACGAAGGGTTGCGTTTTCTTGGAAGGAATGAGGAGAACCTATAGGGTCTATGGACCTATGGATGTTGAATATGGCATGATTTATATGTGGCCACTCTTTAAGGTCAGAATAACATGATCCTGGTCAGAACATCCGCGTTTTGGAGGTGACTCGGACTCACCGCCCAGCCGAACGCGTCGCTCCTTCCGGTCCTTCCGGTCCGCCAGGCTCTTCCATGAAGGTCTCATCGAACAGCCGAACGTCCGGGGTCCTATAGGAGCTGTCTTCATCTTCAGCTGTCCGAAAAGCGGATCTGGGAAGAATGGCCATGATGGGCCAACCAAAAACCCACAACAGACTGACGACCTGGAGACCCAAAGAGTCAGGGTGGGTTTCTCGGATTGGACGGTGGGAAGAATGGCCTGATTAGTCTGTTTCAGATGTGTTCGGTGGTCGATGGGGGCAAGGAATTCCAGCTCCAACAGTTCCATGGAGTGGGGTGCTGAACTTGGAGGAGGTCGGGGGTGCCCCCCATAACATGATCCACTTAGTGGATGGGTCAGGTCAGGTCAGGTCTAAAAATCCACTCAACAAGAGGGCGAAGAAGGGTTAACCTTGGGGGGTGTCCTATTACCTGTAACAGTTGGTACACAATTCTTCGACATTTTAGAGAAAGGCCTGGAACCAGGCCCCATCATCATCCACTGGGCCCAGGGAATAGGAGCTACCCAAGGTTATGGTGCTTAGTTCTTTTAGATGAGGTGCATATTCCTGTTATTCGGCTGCTAGGTCTGAACAATAGAAAGACACCTCCACACGCGTACAAACATAAAACACGTTATTACGTACACGGTATAAGAGGGTCAAGAAGGGAAAGCCAAGATTATGCTCCTCTACTATAGTATCGAGTTCTGGCAGTTTCTATGGTCTATTTTTGGGATGTTTGTGGTATATCTCACAGGCCAGGATTTCAATATGACAGACTCCTTCTCAGTTTCTATATAGCGCACACACAGACGCAAAGCCATCCAATCAGTGCCCATGAACCCCCACAAAACCTCTCCCTCCCCCTTTCATCGAACTCGTCGCACGCACGAGCTAGCGTCGAACGCGTCGTCCTATGGCGTCGAACGCGTCGAACGCGTCGACGTGGGCGGCTTGCCAGCGCCCAGCGTGGCCGAGTCCCACGAACTCTACAAGAGCTTCATGAAGCGAAAGTTGAGGGATGGACTCGTCCTGGAGGCCTGGAACAGCGCACGGACAGCGCACGACATGTCCCGACCACCGAAACCGAACCCGAGACGCCCGGAAAGTTCGGAGGGAGGCCGACCTGAGGGTGGGGTTGGTGAACAGAGGTGAACATCTGCAAAAGTTGGACCAGGTTTGTAATGATTTGATATGATTTGTATGTCTTTTTGGAGGTGTTTGCGGTTTGTTCTTTTTAGTTGGATCCTTTTTGGGAGGTGGCGTTCATGTGCCCGCCACTTGGAGGCTGTTGCAGTGATATGAATGAACACGGCAGAACTCATGGTGCAATTACAAAAGTCTTGCAGAGCAGTTGTGATCCTCCAAAAAAGCCACGTTGCGTTGATGTGCCTGGCCACAGTGTCTATACACGGCGAGGCGGTAACAAAACTGCGAAGGAAGATTGGGCCGACTCAAGTCTGTCATCAAAGAGCTCGTAAAAGAGTGCTACTTAGTGATACGTACATTGTATGCAGTGAAGCCATAGTTTGAGAACTGACATCAGCGGTTTAGCGGTCATCTTTACAAATTTGATGATCCATGAAGGAAATGGAGAAAGCCTCCAAGCAACCCGCCAAGCGGCGGCGTTGCAGGCAGTAATATTATTCTTGAAGCGAGTCGACAATGCATCGCCTTTTCTTAAGTGTATTGGGCGGGGAAAATGGAAAACACTGCCAAGCGGAACTCGCGGTTGAGGTCCGTCGGGGGAACACTGCCAGCCAGAGATCGCGGTTGAGGTCCGGCGGGGAACACTGCCATCCTGCACTTGCGGTTGATGTCCAGCGGGGAACCATCCAGAGCTGGCGGTTGAGGACGACATGGAGGCGCAGGAGGAGGAGGAAGGCAGCTGACATAAAATCTAACAACCCTCACCTGACATGTCGGGAAAACATGCAATACAGAACGACCGCTAAAGAATACTACAACAAACTCCCAAGAATCACGACTCTAGCCTGACGACCCGTCATGCCCGCGGTAACAGTTCCGCCTTTTTGATCTGTCGTCTCCTGCACATGCGACAGTCTAATTATGCACAATCCTCCCTTGATTCGCGAATAGGCAACAGCATCTCTTCCTGACCAAGCAGATCTTCAAACATGTCATCCCTTGTCATACTTCTGCTTCAGCCTTTCGTAGTCGCAGGCGTCCGACTTCACAAAAAAAGATTCCCGCTGCGTTCTTGCCACGTTTGTCGGCACCAAAGCACCTTGGCTAGTCGAACAAAATAAATGCTAGTTCCTCACGCAACCCTTCACGTCTTCGACCTTGGCATCCAAATTCAAATGCAGCCATAGCCAGATCGGTGGGTAGCACTTGCTGTGCACCAGGACCCAGTAGTAACCTTCGAGCAATTGTGACATATGCATACATGAAAATAATGAATGACACTATTGAAAAATGAAAAGTTTGAATTTGCATGAAATTGTATGAATTATGCATATGTTATCCTCCTGCACCATCCTGCGCCAAACAACAATCGGTGTACGATGGCGGATGTGGGCCTTGGAATCATTTGTTCCATTGGGATCCACATGGACCCACATAGGTCAGGGGGGGTGAAAAAATCCAAACAATGTATTGGGGGGGGCGCACAGTCCACCTATCAATACTTTCCCTGGTGGGCAGGGATCATACATCCTTTCTCAGTGCGAGTTTGTGCCTGGTGCTGCCATGGCTGTAGTGTCAAAGGGCGCAATTGCAGTTGGACCGGAAAACTCTCCGCCACAAACATGGACTCCGTGTAAGTGTAACGGGCACCGAGGGAACCTCGGCAGATAGAATGTGTGTTTATGCCAGAGGTCAGAATATATGCCAGACAAAATGGTGATTTGATGCGGGAGGCGCAATCAACAAAGCATCAGTTCCATCATTCTCCGAAGAATCCTTTTTGCAAGACTTGCCAGCGTGCAAGAATGTTGGCTCCCCAAGCGAGATCAAAGGGTGGTCAAGCTCGTGTTCCAGCCAAGCTGTTTGAGGATCACATCATCGCTGATCATGTTGTTGTGAAGGCCAACATTGAGGAAGGGCACAAAGGGGAAAGGGTTGCTTTCGCGGTCAAGGATTTGCACACCCAGTTCAGGTGCATCTATCCCGCACAAACCAAGTGTTCCGTTGAAATCGTCACTGCCTTGCAGCACTTCGTAGGACCGCAGGACAGCGTGGAGACCATCGAGAGAGCTGATTGCTGCCATCAAAGAGTTACAGGGTATCGTCACCAGACCTCCATTGAACACGTGGATTCTTCAAAATATAGTCTCGAGGGAACGCTTCGTTTTGGCATCTTGATGTTATCTTTGGAAGTGCTCTTGCTGCGACTTGCCTTTTGATGTGCAGATTTCGTGGCAGCACAGTACTTTGTGAACCTTGAAGTGCAGATTCTGTGGACCTTGATCATCACCACCACCACCTCCCTCTGGAACCCAGTGCGTCTAGATCTCTGGACCTTCTGCTTCTACACTTCTAGACCTTTAGACACACTGCTTGGGGTCTCTTACCGGGCTATATTCTGGGATGGTGTGTGTGGCCCTGTGTGTGCAAGCCAAGCTGCAGCTCTCTATACTGTTCGGTGATCATCACGGGAACGATGACCTGATACTCATTCACCTGGAGTTGCGAGGTTGCAGATCGGACTCTGACCTCCTCTCGGTTCAGCTTTGGCATATCAGTGACGCACTTGGGAATGGAGGGTCCCATGGAAGTCGTGAGCGACGCTGACTGAATGCAAAGATCGACTGATGCCCGTGAATCCTCCCAGGGAGAGCCCCTGTGGGAAAACACGAATAGAAGAAACTAATTCGAAGTGTGTTTGATTCCTTTGTTGACTCGATAATTTAGATCCAGTATTCAGTATACTTTAGACCAAAAGCGACAACAATGAAAAAACACAAAAACAAGCAAAAACATAAAAGACAACTGGTTTCGTGCCGACTCTGGTTCTCGATGCATTTTGGTACAATTGTTCCTGATGTTTTTGGCGAAAAGAACCTGTCCAATGCGTCCCCTCTGCCAACGGGTGGAATCTGCGCCATTTTTCTGCGCTTCTGCGGTGATTTTTTTGGCCAGGTGAGATTATGGGCGGCCATGCGGACGCAGACGGTGGCGAAAACCGTGGTCGGAGCATTGCAATACGCGTAGGGTGGCGCAGAAATGGTGCCATGGGTATGGGGTGGAGATTGGATCAGATTTTGTGATGTGTTTTATTTTTTTCCGGGGCAACTGGTTTTGGTCAGGTTTGTCTACCATTGACAACTTGACAAATTACCCCAGTACAAATGGGTGCAATCGTTCAAAGGTTGAAGAGACAAGAGGGGCTAATTTGGTCCTGCACTGACATCCTGTTTGTCCACAGCATCACAACTGCACTGCGATTTGAGAAACCGGTTCAGTGTCAGTCCGATTGACAATGTTGGACGCCCCATTTGTATGTTGGAACCTTTGTACCAAAACCACAAAAAAATCTGCAAATGTTGCCTTTCTTCACCTACGCAGCCCAGCCGAGTACGGACCTTAGCGTCGCGCAGTGCCTCAGGCGCGCGTTAGCGTCGCTGCCAAAGCCGGGGAGCATAGGGCTGGGATAGGGAATTGGGGTTCAAAAGGAAGGACTTAACCATAGAATCGACGGAGACCAAAGTGCAATGCTTGGAACCTCCTACAGATTGCGAAAATAGATGCAACAGATTGTGACATAATACCCCGAGATATCCAGCATGTCTGTTTTGGTGCGGGTTCGAGACTGTCATGATCCTTGTCGAGGTAAAGAAGTCCCCATCACTGGACAGTTTTGACCCCCAAATGAATTAAACTAGATTCTTTGAGACACGTGTAGTTGTTGGGCGAGTTAGTTGTTGTTGGGTTTTCTCCAACCTATTGTAGATGTGTGGTGAATCCTGCACGCGACGTACTGCATGAACCTCCACAAATATTCATTCATATATGCATGCCTTTTGTCGAAGATACATGGGCTCGTCATGGTTTCAAAAAGTGTGGACATGTGTGGACGAAGTTACCTCTTGCTTTTTGTTTGCATGTACAAAACCATCCTTGACCCTGAGTTGTACTCCGTCATAGATGTCATCAATGCTTCTTCTCTATCAATGCTTCTGAATGAATTCTACCCAGCTAGACTTCAAAGGCACGTCGGATCCATTTTCGGGTTGGAAAGATGTGTGAGGTTAGTTCTGACACATCTCTCTCAGGATGAAGCAGTACTACGCGCAATTTCCCGAAAAGCGCAATCCAGAGGCGCAGGGCTGGTGGGGTGAGGCAAATATGAAACTTTAGTAGGCTGGGCTGACTGGGTAGTTGGGTAATGTTGGGCAAGAGGCTGTGACTGATGTACAAACAGAAAGTGCTTTGGTGCTGCTATATGGTGCTATCCATTTATGGTTTGGTCGTGTTTGGTCCTGCATGGGATGGATGTGTGAAAGCTTCAGGTTATGTACAACTACTGTTGAAAGACTCGAAGGGGCAGACTGAACACCAGCTTGGAAAAGCTGTTTGTGCGAGGTGAGTCCCACCGATTGCAGTCCAAAGATGAAGCCACCCAAATGAGAAGCCTGAAGAACATCTCAAGCTAAACACATCTTGGGAACGTGAGTCTTCCTGAAAACCAAGTGGACCACCAAGTCAAGACGGAAAAGACAGGGGATACCCAAGCTGCTATACAATGTGTTTATGTGTTTCTTCCTGAGGCTTGGACGGGTTTTGTGATTCTCCCAAGGTTTTGAGGATCGGGGATACCAGGGCCCAGCAGGCCGCAAGCTGGCTCGAGCTTGCACAGGAACATCGGCCCAAGCGGCCAAGGCCACGCGTGCACAAGCGGCTGTAGGTGGACCGGACCTCGGTCGTCCGCTAGTCGTCGGTCGTATGCATGCGGTGCATTGGTCAGTCGGGGAAGAAACGAGGTGTCCTGGTTTCCCTTAACCACGGGCATATATACCTAAGCTTTTCGAACTTCCCATCATTACCAGTAACAGATGATCATGTAATGGGACAGAGGCCTGTTATATACTGAACAATGTGTTTTTTCCGAACAGGTTGGGGTCTATTTCATGTATACAGGCCTTTCTCTATGTGGACCGAGAAAGACCTTGGTAGGTCCACCCAGGTCTCCTGGGCTTGGACCCACAGCCACGGTCTTCGGCGGTCAGGATCACTCTGAGTTGATCCTGGCGCATCAATCCTTCGGCCAGGGCCTTTGAGATCTGGGACAGGTTCACCAAGCTGTGCAAGCAGCATAGCATGGGGTTAGCCATCTCCAAGCTATACGTAAAATTACGGCTGGTAATTACGGCTGGCAAGCACTGTTTTCTTAATAAAGTTCAGCCGTACTGACATGAGTGGAAACTTGCTAGATACTTAAAAACAGGGAGACTCTGCATCCATGTGAAATGTTTGTGTCAAAGTACACATGATTTAGATGTGTGGGAAGAAATGTCAGAACTGCCCGACAGCCTCCTGTCTCTTGTTGGTGCCCAGTTTCCAGCTATTGCTGAGATGCCACACCTATCCATGCTTGTTAGTCGGGTATGTCCCATGGCCACGTAACAGTTGGTAAAGGACTAACACTGCTTTTGAGCAACGCCTTTACATGATCATCCGTTACTGGTAAATATATCCAACTTGTTAGCATTCTAGGTCACACCAAGCGCCACAGCCAGCATGGCCTCATGCCCTGGTTCGTATCACTACCTTTTGGGAAAAGTTGTAAGAGACTTACTTTCAGGACCGAAACGCCGCGTGCTGTAGGTGCTCTTCGATGTCAAATAGATTCAAACAGCAGAATTCTGGAGCTCCTGTGGTTTACCTCCTGAGGTCCTGTGTCGAGAAAACCTCGAACGAAAGGGTTCCATGGCCCTAGGGATCCAGTCGTACCGAACCTCAGGTTCGGTACGACTCGAGTCTCCAAGCCTACCATAACAGTGTCGAACACATCACCTTCTCAGCGGGCATGTGTTTCCCTAGGGTCGATCATATTGAACTCCAGGACGCATACATCGTTATGGGAATTGAAGAACAAACCATCATCCAAAGTTGGTGCACGAACAGTCGGATTTGTATGAAAATAGGGCCCAACTCCCCTAAACCAAGCACCCAGCCAGTGCCAGGGAGCTTTTCCTCTTAAAGTAACGGAAGAAGCGTCAGGCTGTTGCAGCGCTGAGGAATGAAAGCACCTGAGGGCAGCCCCGAGAACGATGAAGCGGTCAGGCTGTTGCTTTCCAGGCGGATTTGGGCGTCGGGGAAGAGTTCTGGGATAGGAGGAGACAGATATCGGGGAAAAGAGCGGATGAGATAGGATAGGAGGTTCCCAAATTCGAGAACATTGGTCGTATACATTATATGATATATTAATATGCAACTATTTAGTATTATGCTGTTGACACACACAATGATTTTAAGCTTCCTTTTACCATAGAGCTCTGGGGTATATAATAGAGCTTTGTTTCCATGCTATGCTCCCATGTCGAACGAACATGTCAACTGTAACTGGATGCATCAAATTTGATGAGAACGATACACATAATCGAAAGCAAACACCCAATGCCCAAAGGTGTTTAGCGCATCTTCTAACCCCAGAGTCCGAACCACCCATTCCCTAGCCTTCAAAGTTCATCTTAAAGTGGTTGAGTTGGTTTATTGTAGTGTAAAATCCTTAGTAAAGCATGCAAAACCATGGTTCTTCAGTAAAGGCCATTGAATCAATGGTGGTTTGAATCGTAGAGCATTTGCAGATGAATCATTTTCCAGACTCTATAGTGAGCTCAAAACTCTATGGAAGCTCCGGCATGTCACGACATGGCATGAAGCAATGATCCGGGTTTGGTCTGACCAGGACATCACGCAAAAAGTTCTATCGACTTCACTTAGGGTTCTATCAAACACTATCAAACGGTAAACTCTTTTCACAAATCCTCTCACTTGACCAATTGCCATTCATGTTCAATCATTTGATCCTTCTGCCTTTGCACATTTCTTGCCCTGCCAGGCATGCCAATGACCCAGTTTTCCTAGTCTTTGACCTTACTCCTGCAACTTCAGAAGATGTTTGGTACATGGTGGAGGCACAGCACGGGGAAAGGGCCACACGTGGCACTCATTTGACCTCTTCGTGCAACTTGTGTAAAGCCTTTTGGACCCTCCGCTTCTTCTGGAAAGAACAGAGCTTTATACACGAGAAGAGGCAGATGATGTGCTGGGCACTGGCAAGGCTTTAGACCAACAATCTGTTGTTCGCCTTGAGAGGGTGCCGCTGATGTTTGTTGGAAGTGCATCTATTTTGCTGCGAGATCACCGGATCACTGAACATGCGAGGAGCCAATCGGGGTCCTGAAGTGGCTGGCACAAAGAACCCATCGAAATGGTTAACCTCTCTACAGGTAACCTCTGCAGGTTACCCTCTATAGGTTACCCTCTACAGGTAACCTCTACAGGTTACCCTCTATTAGCTGGATTCCAAATGGCTAACCTCTACAGGTGTCGCTTGGTCGCTCGGTGTCTTTTTGTGTACTCCGCCCCGCTGCGTCGTGGTCGATGGTCCTGACGGGTTCCCCCCCGCAAGCTACCCTTGGCAGCAGGTGGTCGAGCCTACTGTAGCCGACAGAGCTTTCATCCAAAGCAACTGACTATAGCAAGTGAATTGATGTTGAGGCGCGATCAAAGGAGCACTTCGCATATGGCCAGGCGTTCCTCACCCGAAGAGGTGGATACCAACTTGGAGCCTTCAGCTACGCCAGCGTGAAGTGCAGGTGCGTACAGGGCCTTCCACTGGGGTAGCTGGCTTTTGAAGCCCGGAGAATTCGACATAAATTCCACGAGCGGATTGGGGATGAATAGCTAGAATTGGTGAACTACTTAAGGCATTGAACGTGTTTTTAGCGCATTCACCTTGCTCTTCCCTATCCAGAGGAGCAGCAATTTCCGAGCGCTACAGGGGCAATGTTTGACATTGGCCTCCTCTAAAACGTACCACCAGCACAAAAAAAGGAAGTTTGGACAATGGTGGATTTTACTTGTTCAATTTGCTCAAGAAAAAAGGTAACATACTTTCACATGCAATGCGCGTTTATAGTGTGTTGTTTTAACATGCATGTCCACCGCATGCTGCCGACCTCGCTGCCGACTCTGCTGTCGCTGGGTTCTTCGCCCCAAAGCGACTTCCGCACAGGTGGGATTCAGCTTTGGGAGACCTGTCAGTGCTGGAGGCGACCTGTCTGCGACCGGGGGAGGAGTCGAAGATCAGAAACAAATCCCATCCACATGCAGGTGACGGTGTTTTGATTTTTGTATGTGTATTATTTAGTATTATTAAGAATCCATTTGGAGACATTCAGGGGCTGTTTGGATGGGTTTGTTTTGGGTTTCGTGAAGGGCTTAAGATGTGTCCAAATTTTGCGGGTGATGAAAGAAGCATGGGGTGCTGCTAGTCGTATTGCCACATGAGTCACTAGGCAGGGTACAAAGAGGAGTTCATGCCGCAACGAGCGAACCGGGGAGATCTACATGGGCGAGCCCATAGGTTTAGCTTCGCCCGCAGGAGGGACAGTCTTCCAAATCTCCCAAATATGTTACCATATGAGGATGTCTCCAAGAACTTGACAGGTGTGGCTGTGTTGTATCCTGGTTTGCTTTATATCAGCTTGGGAAATGATCAGTGCCTGCTGGTTTGTTGTTTGGCCCTGTTTGGCTTCCTCTTGCATCAGGTCCTGCCCAGGAAGTACCCGCTGCGGCTAGGCGCGGGTGTTCTGCGAGTTCAGGACGTGAAAAAAGGGGCTACTATAGATGTTGCATAGCATATGGCGTCATCCGACACTGCTGCATATTCCTTTTGGCTTTGCAGCTGTACTTGTATTGTGCATAAGCAGATGGCCAACATATTCATGTGTGTGTTCCCCCTCACCCTTTTCACCTCCACTCAGCACCAACACTGAAGCCATTGGCAACCTGGACCCCTTGTCAACACCGATCTACTTAGAGGCATGAGATGTCGATGTCATGAGTCATTTCCCCGGCTAAGCTCTGCGCCGTTCCGAAGCTAAAACGACCCACGGCCGTCTACCCCGTGGCGAGGCCAGGGTGAGTACAAGACCCAGGGTAAGGTGCGCCGTCGGACGGCCTCGCGCCGACCACTTCGAGCGAGCGTGGGAGCTGTCGGACCATGCCTGTCATGGGACGTACGGCAAGGAAGGACAGAGAAGTATCATCATACAAACCCCACTGCTGCGAGTCTAGAAACTCCCATTTAAAAACAGTGCAAAAAAAAATGGAACTCTGCTTGCATCTAAACAAATGAAACTATGTAATGAGAGAAACTCCATGCAATTTATTTTCTTATTTGTGCAGACTTGGGGCGTATCCTGTTTCCTTCTCCAGGCATGCAATCAGCTGAATGCGATTCGCTTTGCCTCGGGGCACTACATCCAGGTGCGCTGGGTTTTTCTCGACAAAAAACCGGAGGACTCTTCATAATAATGTAGACTCTTGATGAATAATCCCTCCAGGACGCTCATGAAGAGGTGTTTGAATTGACATGGGGGTGTTATTTATCAAGATATTACCCTAATTCCCTGGACAGGGCCATGTGGAAGGTCCTTAGACTTAAGATGAGTGTGTACAAATGCCCTGAGGGAGTCACTTTGGGGGTCTCCCTATTCCAAATACAGACACCCACATGGCGTCGATCTTCCTACTATCCTGAGCCGCTCGGACTGGGACGCACCGCGAAGCGGTGAAACGGTGAGGCCTTGGATTGCAACATGGGCACCTTCAAGGGAGAAGGCTTCAAGGCGCAGCGGACGGATGGCATGATGCGCCCACGCCACAGAGAGCCACGGAGGGGGAGTCACGCCACACGGACGTCCTTTGATGTATCTCACTTTAATAGACTTTGATGGATCTAAAGATCTACAGGAGCTGGATTGATGTCCAACCGGGTTCAGCACTTTCTGAAAAAGTCATGTCTCATCATCATGATTCATCGTTTATAATTTTCACATGAAGTAGAAATGAATGGAATCTAAACATGTGAGCGTTCAGAAAAGAACTCATCAATGGACCACCCATGCTCAGGCAATGCATAGGATGTTTGTTGAACGTTCTACCTTGCAGTTGTTTCAGCGAAGGGCCCAACCAGTTTATCAGGAGGCTTTGTTGATTCTCAAGGCGGGTAACAAGAGAGAGATAAAAAGCCCTGGCAGATCCTGGAAGCTTGGCAGAGATAAAGAAAGATGTAATAGCCTCTGTGGAATCAAACAGGGTAAACAGAACTCATGCTTTTTCCACCTGTTAGTACATGGTATCATGTTCAAGTCCTGCTTCTGTTCATCCAATTGGTGTAGCTCAAAATTCAAGGCATCAGACGACCAAATCGATTTAGGCCCACCAAGCGACCCAAAGCCTTGGGCTGTTCATTTGCTGTTTCAAGAATCTGTCCACCTGGAGAGATCCCGGAAAACATGTTTGGGACCTATGGTTGTGGGCCATCATTGCGAGACCGGCCAGTTGACCACAGAGAGAATGAACAGACTACAGGGGAGGTCAACCTGGCTCCGGGTAGGTTCCCTATGTCCTACGGCTGTTTATGCCTTTGGACAAGAAGAACCGCCTGAGCCTCAGCGTCCTGCAGCGTCCTAGCCCGGGAGAGTGATGTCAGCGGTGAGGAAGCTGTTGTAGCTGGGAGGGGAATGCTGATTCTGGCTGCAGCACAGATACCACATGCAGCGCCACATGCCATTTCGTCCTGAAAAGATCCAAGTCTGGTGATCCCTGCCCCTCGGATTTGATATGATCGAAGTGCACAAAGAGCCCAATCCAGATCCTATGGACATAGGATGAAACCCACATGATCAGATTCCACCCCACCCCTCCAGGAGTCCTGGGAGTTTGGAAATTCTGAGTTCACCGCAAAGGATAGCGCGAGTTTGGTTTGTCTTGATAGGTAAGAAAAAAAAGGACGGCTCCAGGATTCTTCAAAGGGCACTGTACATATTATTCTTGCTCTCCCACAACGATTTCGCCCCAAAAGCGCTTTTGACCGCCCAAAAGCACTTCAGCGCCGTGGATTCCAAACGAAACCGACCGGGGCGCGTGATGGGTTGAACGGGGTTCGTTCACCGGAGACACCGGAGCTCAGGCGTCGCCACGCAGTGCCGCTTCTTGGGCTTTCGGGAGCACATCTACACCGCCCGCGAAGGGACGGCGGCTTGGTGGGCGAAAGACAGAGGGGTGTTCGGCAGCTTGTTCGGTGCGGGGGGTAAGATGATCTGACAATTCAACAAAAAGGGCACCAAGATGTGTGGTTTTTAAATCTCGAGTTGATTCTTAATGGTTTGAAAGTTTTACCAGATGTTGCAACATATGGATGAAGCACTTCGCATCCTCCCAACACATCCCAAAATGTTCACTCATGTTCACTCTACAGTAATAGGACTCATCATCATCAAAATTATATTCATATCATATCCTCTCTCTCGGCTGCCACCCCGAAAACCCATCAGATAAAAGCACCCCCTCTCCAGCCGCCCTCCGCCGCAGCTTCCACCGCAGCTTCGCGGCCGCGCCATGCCGCCGCCGCCCGGACGAGGTCGGGAAGTGCCACGCGGCGGCGGAGTGGACCTTCGGGACCATCTACCAACGCTTCCTGAGCGGCGCGGAGCGCCCAGAGTGCTCAGGGGGCACGCAGGAGGAGGAGGAAGGGGAGGAAGGGGTGTCACGCGAGGAGGAGGAGGAGGAGGAGGAGGGGGAGGAGGAGGAGGAGGGGGAGGGTATCACAGGAGGAGGAGGGTTGGGTGCGAAATGAATTAATTTAGTTTTGTGGGTGGGAGGCAGTGAGATGGAGTGGACGGGTTGCATAAAGAATGTTGCTTGGCACCCAAGGCTCATCTATGATTAGTCTTACTCAAGGGGTAGAGATGTTGTTCACAGTTGTTCACTTGTTTTGCTCACAAGCTTTCTTTGTTTGGAAGGGTTCGGTCACGTCTGGTCCTTTGCCCAACATGCCTATAGTCCTATAGTGCCAACTTGCTCTCCTTGCGCCGCTCTCCGAGCGTCCGTTTGAGGCATGGGCACTCGAATGCACTACGGCCATCCCGATTTTGTCGATGGATTTTGGGCCAGAAACCGTGGAGGAATGAGCCATCCCCGCCATGCTTTCTGCGCACGACTTTGTGGGCGGGCTCGGGAGGGTAAACGCAGCACAGCAGTGTGTTGTTAGCCAAGTGCTGCAAAGAAGATTCCTACTGCTGGTGAAGGAAATTCGCAGCTTCAAACCCAAGGCACGCAGGTTGGAACAAGTGTAATATTAACAAGATTGCATTATCTTGTGAGCGCCTGAATGCCATAAAGAATGTTATCCCCCTTCTTCCAGGTGAAGGATATCTTATTCATATCCTATACTGCCAGAAGGACTCCCTCACCACACCTCCCATTCCCCGATGTCGTAAGTATAGTCAAGGCGGGAAGCCTTGTTTCTTCCAAAATGGAAAACTGTGAGTGTCCATGAAGATGTCAACCTTACTCGCCCACTTCATGGGCCAGGTAAAGGCTCTCCTGTCGTGAACCTTAGTGAGGACATTTTTGCAGGCAGGGTGGGTGACAGACGGTCGCTGGATGTGGTATTGACGAGTGTACGCAGGTGCCAAGGGCCGTTGTTGAATGAGAGCAGTAGATATTGGGATCCTTTTTTGGTGGCACTTTCAGCGTTGCGTCGCACCAGCCGTGTGCAGGAGGTTTCCACTGGCTCAAGCATGTCTTTTTGCAGATGTCAAGTATGTTCGACTATAGTATAGCATGCACCTTGACGCCAGATCTCCACGATCTCCCACGATCTCCAACTCCAATCATGACCCTCCCCCCTTGGCCCTGCGTGGAGGTTACAACGTCCACATGCGTGAGGAAGCGTCACCGCACGTGGACGCCCTTGAATTCGAGAAAGGCAGAGAGGCCGAAGCTCCGCTGCGCCGGTCATGTGGTCGTTTGACTCGGTTTTGGGTGGCAGAAGTCGTGAGCTGACGAAAAGCCTTGATGACTTGGTGACTTGGTGTTGGTGACCACGAGCAGAATTGTTTTGTATAGACGACTTTTTGCACAAAAGTGCGACCCACTGTAGCCTATACTGTAGCTATACCTCACTTCAATGTAAGTGTTCAAATTAAAGACCTTCATTACGCAGGTTCCACCTATACTGTTATCTATACTGTAGTTATACCTCACTTGGTGGTGGCTTCTAGAATCCACCAAGTCATTTCTGCTAATGGACCGCGTATGTCCCAGTCTTTCTGCAGGCAGCGTTCAACGCAGCGTATGGACCTTGGTGAGCGGCGAAAGACAGATCTCGGTCAACGGAGAGCGATTCCAATGGTTCGGGTAGAGGCTCCTTTTTTGGAGGTTCAACAAAAACACACGGTCAATATGGCTGATTCCGTTCAATCGCAGGGCTTTCTCTTGCAAGTGGATTGTCCTTATTCCTCTTCTTCCTACGTTAGAAAGACTCTTGAATCGTGAAGCACAAATGAATGTTGCAAAGTCACGATTCTATTCAATTTTTGACCTGACACCTGCAAAAAGTCAACTTGAATAACTAAACTACACATGATATGGTTCAGAGCTTCGCCGACCACTCGTCTCCGAAGCGGCCCAAGACCGACCCGAGGTCCGCCTTCTTCGCGAAGATCTCCGGCGGAAGCGTCGGGATCCTCCGGTCAAGAGACAACCATTTGCTCTGTGAAAGGCGCGGCGCAGTGGCGAGTGGGTGGAGACGGATGGGTTGTTTGGTTGGCTGGAAGGCAGGTGCTCTTGTTTCATGAGGTCAGAAAGAGCAAATCAATTTGGAGGGGTTATTGGATATGCGGGAAAGCTGCAGGCCTTGATTTAAAGAAGAGATAGTCATACGTAGAGCAAATATTGAGCAGGAAGATGTGTGAAGGCGTGTTGGAACAGAACACTACTAGTTTGAATGGACGTGGACTCTGTTTGGAGGACAATTGTATATATAAGCTGGGAATGGGTGGAAATTATCACCTCACCTCACCTCACCAAGTTGAGCCTCAAAGAATTACACAGACTTTGTGTGTTAAATATGTTCTATATTAATGCTTGATACAACTAAGATGTATATGTAATGTATATGTGGTATATTCACAACCCTGTGACTGAATGTCTTGACCACGTCACGCTATATATGGTATACCAACCCAACCTCATCCTGAACCTCCAGATGTGACCGAGCCCTTCTTTCGATCACTCTCTCCAGCACCAGCTGAAGCCGCAGCTGCGTACAGCCTAGCTGCAGCTTTGCGCCTTTGCTCCTGGCAGGATTGGAATTCTGCACTCGTTGTCGTTTTACTTCACCTCCGTTGCGTTCTATGCCGGCATCCCAGAACGTCCTCCCTCGTTCGGCGCAACATAGCTTAGTGAGGCTGCGCTGAGTGAGCGCTTATGGCTTGGCAGTGCCAATTGCATGGTTCGACTGGGATTTTGGATCTGTTTTGGGCAAAAGTATTTGCTTTTGTGATGTATACTTGACGGCCATCGAAGAGGCTGTGATATCTTGTTCCAGACCATTTTGTGATGATCTATCACTTACGCCCCGAATATCCTATGCTACAAAGAGGTTTCCGTTGCACTTCATCCAACTCCCTGCTCCTTGGCCATGCCCATTCTCGGTGGCTCCGAGGTGAGCAACTTGTTGATTGACATTTCGATCACTCTTTATGCCGCAGCCTCGGTCCTTCCGCTTTGTGTTTTTTTTTTTTTTTTCGATCGGCGGATGTGTTGAGATACGTTTTGTGTATGACTCCCAAGAGCTCCGTTTGAGGTAATCTATGGCCTATAGTCACCAACAAACCACCAAATTAAAGGGCATATTGTCGCATACATGGAGGGCTTGGGAGTGGCAATGCTTTTCTGAGATCAGTGAAGATTCTGGGTCCCAAGAGAGCTCCTGCAGCAGTGATTGCCAGCGATTGCGAGGGCATTCAATGCTAAGATGCATAAGCAAATCCTGCGTGCAGCTGCCACTACTAGTATCACTTATAAAAGCGTGTGAGGTTGCGAATGATGGTGTTTACAGTACCCGCTGGTTCCACGCCGGCACAGGATCTTCCATGCGTTTGAGCTTATGAGTTAAGATTGATTCTACGTGCACCGAGTGCTCGATGCCTAGACACAGTGCCCCACCTATCTTCAACCAGAGTTCGCCTTGACTTCAACCCGAACTGCCGGCCGCCGAGGTCACGCTTTTCATCGTCTTCACTCTGGCGCGGGGGCTCGGCATTTGGACGCCGATTGGCTTCACCAGTTGACATGTGAAGTGATAGCTCGGTACATCCCACATTTTGTTCAGTGCCAAGCCGAGCTCTTGGATACCTGTTCAGCGGTTGATGAATCAATGCCGCTGTTCGAAGTCTTTCAAACAGTTCAGCAAGATTCAGCAAGTATTTGTTGGGTCTGTCTGTCCCATTACCATCATTACCTGTAACAGTCGGCACACAATTACCATTATGATTTTAGAGAGAGGCCTGGAACCTAATCATCATCCACTGTTACTGGTTATAGGATATACCCAAAAATATAGTTTCTAGACGTATTTCTGCATCGTAAAGCGGTCTCTCAGACTTGTTGAGGTTGGCACGAGGGTGTTCCGTGCCGACTGTGTGTTGTTGTTGTTGTTGTTGTTGTTGTTTCCCGTTATCGATGGCTTCCAAGTAGAGACGAGTCAAGAACTGTTTCATAACATTTGATGAGATGCTTCAATATATTTGCGAGGGCTCAGTCGAAATGAACGCAGAAGGGTGTAGAAAGCAAGAACTGGGCTCGGAAGATGATGGGAAGTTAATCTCAGGTGTTTGATATGAGTTTGCATTGGATCATTGTACAACAAAGTCCCAAGCAATGGAAACAAGAGCGATTTGACTGATGAGAAGCAAACTGAAATGAGTAGCAAACTGCAGAACCAAGAAATAGAATGAATTAGAGGCAGTACTAGAGGCTTATTACAAGCAATTTGATAGATGTTGGAAACCAACGGCTGACACTGTCATAGAGAAGCAAAACCTTGTATCACTATACCGATCAAGTCACCTGAGTGAGTGGTCGTAGCACCCGTTCCCATGGGTCGCCGCTGGGGATTGACCGCGTGCGAGGCCAATATCGACCTGACCAAGCTCTCGGCTTTGGGCTCTTCCTTTAGTTCCGCCACTTGGAAGCATCGCTGGGCACCACGCTGGTACGTAGTTTTTGGAGGATAGGCCCAAGAGGTTCCCCAGGTGAAAGATTAGTACGCCCCGTTACCAAGCAGCCATGGCAGATGCATCCGCGGCAAAACGAGGTCTTGATAAACAACTACAAGACGTAGAGGACAAGAGATCCCCAGATCACAAGAAGGCAAAGAAGGAAAAGAAAGACAAGAAAGAGAAGAAATCAAAGAAAGAAAGACGGCGTGAAGAAGCTGAGCATTGGAAAAGTCAAGCCAGCAACACTCCCCAACGTGCACATTCTGAAGAGTTGGATGCAGTCAAGAGCTCACCTGCCAGGAAAGAAACTATTCGAAAGTACTCCGAAGCAAGATCAACATCCTCCAGAACAAGTGCCACCATGGAAGTGCGATCCGGCGAAGAGAGACTCAAAGCAGCAGAGCAAGATATCGATCAACTTTGGCAAGATTCTAATGTGTTGTTCAGCGGCATGAAGCAGATGCAAAAGCAGCAAGCCTACCTGATGCAAAGAGACACGGCACAGGCAAGAAAAGAAGCCAACACCCAGGTTGTAGTCAGCAACTGGCCACCGCATGCACAAGAGGATGATAGAGACAGAATCATCGAATGGCTGATTTTTCAGGCACAGATCCCCGCCAGAGAGTACCTACACGCATCACACAAAACCCAACCAGATGCCATTTCACGAATTACAATCATGCACTTCCGCAGCGTATGGTCCACCAAGAAGTTCATAGAGTACGTCAAGAAGTTCGCTTCCGGCAAGTACCCACTACCCTTTTGGGAAGCAGACAACACAGTGCCACAAGATTCAACTGGCAGACCCTACCACCTCCAGATCAGACAGCAAATTTGCACACCAGATCGCATCCGCAGCATCCCTTTGAAAGCCTTTCTGCAATGCATCAACGACAACCCCAACTGCATCTACCACAATCAGACCCGCAATCTCTACAAGAACTGGTCCAGCCACGTCATAGCCAATGAAGAAGGGAATCTCCTCAAATGTCTCTTCAACGACGCGGATGGAACCGTGAAAATGTTGATCCGAGAAGATTTGTTCAACATGGTGGAGAACAGCATCGCAGCTTCATGGAAGACTGTCGTTGCCAGACCATCAGACGACGATTTTGCCAACAGAAAAGGAAAAGGCAAGGCTGGAAAAGGAGGCCCCGCTTCATCGACAACAAGCCACAGCGTTAAAGGCATCCAGGACTACCTCTACAACGTGCACCTGGTGAAGGTACGCCCCACACATGAAGAAGATGACGAAGAAGCCCTATAGGAGACAGTTGGCTGTCCCAACCAACCGTGGAAACACGGACATCGATACCAAATTGCTACTATGGAAAGAAAAGATTCGCAAAAAACACCGTGGAAACACGGACATCGTTACCAAGACGCTACCAATTCAAATACCTCAATGCAGACTTGGAAGAAGAAACGCTTTAGCCATGGCAAGAGTTTCACCAACCTTCTACCGTCAAGCGGTGGGCCGGGACAGCCGCGGGTTGTAACACACACCCAGCGGAGACGAAAAGACCCCACAAAGACAGCGCAAACAGAAAAACGTTGCTCTCATAAAAGAGGAATTCGTTCTATAGAAGCCATTGTCAGACGAAAGCAGAATCGAACGCAAAAACGGCGAATAAGTCGACAAAATTACCGGTTCTACAATAAACACGTGCTGTCTGCCCACTGTGGTGCGGCCAGGCCGGTGGGCTTACCAAAACTGGCTCAGGAAACCCCTAGCAACCAACCAGTGCTGAAAAACAAGCTTATCAAATTCAAAATTGAAGAGCGTCTCACAAGATTCCGTAAGTATCAATCTATACAACACAAACTACAAAACAAGCGCCAGACAGATCAGACTGAACTGGGTGCGCCCAATCACCCGCAGAACCCTACATTGAGCGCGTGGAACTACAATGCGCCCTTCAAAGTGGGGACAATCAACTGTCGTGGTTTGAAAGGCGACAGTGCACTAACCAAAAAAGCAAATCTTATCTCAGCAATGGAAAAACTCAATATTCACATTATCCTACTACAAGAAACCCACGTCAACACGAACTCTTTGGAGAAAGTCAATGGTTTCACGTTTCTATACTCGACAAGTATCACAGATGAGCAGAGGAAACGTGCAGATAATAAACGTGCGCAGACTGCGCAGCAGAAACGGGAAGGAAAAGGGAAAGGAAAAGGGAAAGAGCAGAACCAAGGTTGCAGACAAATTCCGGAAGATATTGAACACGGCGGTGTTGGCTTCTTGTTATCCCCCGTGGCAATAACAGCTTTGCGAGACTTTGAACAAATTGACGGTAGACTCATGACGCTGACACTTGATGCTCATGGTCCTGATATACACATTATCAACGCATATGCCCCCCAAAGTGGCTGTGATGCAACTATGAAAGAAGTATTTTACAATAAGCTCCGCATCTGCTTAGAAAATTTCCCTTCTTCACACCCCACCTTCATTATTGGCGATTTCAATGCACGTCTACATGCCAGGCTTCCAGATGAACATAGGTTTATTGGTCCACATGTCTTTGGCCGTGGGCTGACTTACCTGCAGCAGATGAACGATGCAACGTTCGAAAATCGCTCGATGTTTGTTGAATTTTGTATTGACAATGACCTTTGGGTAGCCAACTCATTCTTCCAGAAGCCGCCTAGCAGCCAAATCACCTTTAGAGAGGCAGGGGTTGACCATGCTCCGCCATGGACTCCCGAAAAATTTGCGCAGCTTGATTTCATCATCGCCCCGCAACGATGGAAAAATTGCGTCAAAGACGCTGCTTCCCAGAGCACGTTTTGTTTTGATTCCGATCACTATTTGGTAGTTGCCCGAATTGAGGTGAAACTCAAAATTCCCGAAGCTAGAAAGCGGCCAGTGCTTAAGTTTAGACAGCCAGACGGCGTTCAGTTGCAAATATATAATCGGCATGTTACGCAAAATTCTCTTAATCACAATGGTTTAACTATGAAGAACTTCATTTCCATAATTGCTCAAGCATCCCGCAGTGCTTTTAAATCCTGTTCCAGCTATGCAGCGTAGATGCTATATTTCACAACATACTTGGGCTTTGATTGAACAGAGACAAGCAGCTCACACGGAGTGCAACTCTCAGACCGTGAAAGACCTGACTCGTCGAATCAAGTGCGAAGCCCGAAAAGACAAACGAAAATTCCTTCTTGAAAGTCTCAAGGAATCGGTTGACTCACGCAGCCAATGGAAGGCGATCAAAAATTTGAAAAAGAAATCGACCCCAAATTTCACGAAGCTGAAAGATAAGGATGGGAATAGAGTAGGACCGCACAGGAGAGCGGAAGCAATAGCAGAATATTTGTCTGATGTGCAGTGGAAAGAGCCAGTGCTACCGCCGCCGCAGCCATTTCGCCGTGCCGTGATCGCAGATCCAGTACCATGCCCTACAGACAATATTCAACTGCATGAATTAAATAATGTAATCAAAAAGGCCAAAGCGCACAAAGCGCCTGGCCCAGACGAAACGGGAGCTGAACTGTTTAAGCTTCTGGATCAGACCAACCGAGACCTGTTGCTTGGGTTGCTAAACCATTGGTGGAGAACCGAGCAGATTCACGAGGAGCATTTAATGGCGCAAGTAGTGACCATATTCAAAAAAGGTAGTACCGAACAGATATCAAATTACAGGCCTATTAGTTTGTTGAACACCGTGTACAAGCTTTTTGCTGCTATTGTTCGAAAGAGGCTAGCAGACCATATTGACCCTTTCATTTCCGAATCACAGTTTGGCTTTCGACGTGATAGAAGTACTACTCAGGCCTTGTTTGTTGCGCGTCGATTACAAGACATTGGAGAGCAGACGGGCGATAGAGTTGTCATGCTTTTCCTGGATTGGGAGAAGGCGTTTGATAAGCTATGCCATTCACGTATGTTTGAAGCACTGATGAGACTGAACATCCCCGAAAAACTGCGAAATGTGATTGCTGCACTTTACAAAAAGCCTACTTTCTGCGTAAAGTATGATCAGCACACGTCCAACATCAAAGACCAGCAAGCAGGAATTAGACAAGGATGCCCGTTATCCCCTTATCTTTTTATTTTAGTGATGTCAGTTCTGTTCTCCGATATTCATTATGCAATCGACCGAGATATCATTCTGAGCCGTTTAGACCGTATAAACTTTTCGGAAATCTTGTACGCGGACGACACGCTGCTAGTCTCCAAAGACACATCAGGTATGAACAGACTTTTGCACGCAATTGAACTTGAGTCTTCTTATTATGGCTTAAAACTCAACCAGGATAAATGTGCTGTGTTATCACTGAACGGCAACAGCCATGTTCGCTTCAGAGATGGATCCTTAGTGCCGCACGTAGATGAAGTTACCTACCTTGGTGGAACTTTGACCTCACAAGTCTCAGTTGCTCGTGAGATTTCCAGCAGAATTTCATCCACAATGGCTACTTGGAAAAGTATGGATATCTTTTGGAGACATGCTCAATGCTCCGTTAGAAATAGGCTGCAAGTTTTCAACTCTGTTATCAAAAGTAAACTACTTTATGGGCTAGAGACTTTGGAAATCCCAAGTGCGCAGATGTCGCGCCTGGAAGCGTTTCATTTGAAAGGTTTGAGAAAAATTTTGGGTATGCAAACAACTTTTGTCAATAGAGCCAACACGAACCAAGAAGTTTTTAGAAGAGCCAACATTGCAATTCAAACTCGCCAAAACCCGACTTGTACAATTCAAAAGATCAGCGAGCTGCTGGGTCAAAGAAGGATCGCTTTAGTTGGACACATTCTAAGACAACCGCGTACAAATCCTTTGAGAAATGTATGTTTTCGGCAAGATACGGCGGCTCCTTTTGAAGTGCTGTACCGTCGACCAGGTCGACCCCGAAGGCGATGGATAGACTCCACCTTGAACATTGTCTGGGAAAAAATACGTCCAAATGGTGAAGGATTCAACCAATCGCCTGAACAACTGGCACATATACAGAATGCGGCAAGAAACTACCAATTGTAAAAAAGCAGGATCACACAAATGAAAGATTTGACTCACCAGGTTTTTACCTGGACTTCGATACCAAATTGATATTAATGAAATGCTACAGCTTTGACCGAGACGCAGTGGTAATGTGAGCGCGCCGCGGTTGGCGTAGGGGTGCCTACGGGCGTGTAAATACTTTTTTGTGTACAGTACTTAGTATAATGTGACCCACACGCCTTTGGCAAACGAAAGAAAGAAAGAAAGAAGTCTGAGAGGATACTCCCACATATAGATTTCCTACATGTGCCTACTGGAGACAATTTTGCTTTTCCAGGACAGTGTTACTAGGTACTGTATACTGACCATATCTGACCATATATGTTCTCCTACAATTACTGAAGAAAAGCTACTAGGTACTGTATACTGACCATATCTGACCATATATGTTCTCCTACAATTACTGAAGAAAAGCAGAGAATAGGGCAGGGGGCAGAGATCTTATGCCCAACTTGCTACGGTGTACTATGGCTCATTTCGGTTAGTTACTTTACTGGTTCAATATTTGGGAATGGAGGCAAATGGTATACTCTGTGAATGTGCTTCCTGTAGTTGGCCTCTTCTTCTCACGCAGAGGTTCCCAATGCAAACAAGGAAAGCTTCTATAACAAAGCCTTGTTGTAGACATACACAAGCCTTGTCACGACCAAGCTCAGTTGTAACAACAAGGAAGCTTCTATAACACCGCTAGAATTGGTCCATGTATATATATATATATTATAACAACTGATGGTCAAGACCAGCTTTGAGCTCATTCAGCTCCCCTCAGTCACCATTCTTGGCCAAAGAGCGTCTCCCAAGGAGTGGCTCTTGTCCCTCGGGATCATGAGCCCGGCAGCCCGGGTGGGAAGACCTTGCAAAACGGTGGCAACCGGCGGCACATCTTGCTGCTTAAGATGTCATGAGACCTCAAAGTTTTTCAACCATATATTGTTAGTGTGCTTCAATGCGTAGTTTGGCTTGCATGGCTGGCTACAGAACATCGAAGGGTCTTGCTCATTGATGGCGGGGCACAACTCCGTCAGTTCCTCGCAAGATTTCGGTAGGTTTTCGTCCTTGGTCCTGTTTAAATTCACCAGTCAGAATGTCAAAACTTGTTGCAGTGTACTGGGTGGGTAAACCAAAAAGTAACTAGCCTCTCATGGATGCCCAAAAAAGCATCCCACGACCACAACGGTAGAAGGGAAACACTTGAGCAAATCAAATCCTGTCAATTTCAACTTCCTGACATGAGTCTTGGGTCCAAAGACCTTACAAAGTAGAAATACCCACCGACGGGGCTCGTCAGTTTGAGACATTCTTTGCCCAAAACACGGCTCGCCTGCCCAACCGACCGCCAGAGCGCGGGCGTCCCACGCGAGCGAGGTCTTTTTCCTCAGCTTTTCGAGATGATCCTGGAGCCTCGTGGCAGCAGAGTCACAGCGTCCGAGTCAAACCGTAGACCATGGTGCGATATGTTTTTTTGATATGTCAGGACTGGATGACCTTCCGGTCACTGAATGATTCCAAAGCATCAGTATTTGAGAAGGTAGTTGGAACTGGACAGTTGAGTAAGGGAGAAGAGGGCGCCTCATGGTGTCAATGGGCTTTGAGCCTTTTACCTCAAAATAGTTGAACAGGCTTTGAAAAGGGGCGCCAACCCATCTTCCATAGATAGCCATGCTATGTCTTCCATCTTGCCGAGGAATGTTCCAAGCAGGTTGACAGTTCACATAGGTTTAAAGTTTAAAGGGTATAACAAATAATGCAGAAAAAGCGTGGTCAAGAATAGGCTGCCTGAAGAAATGACAGCCGCACAGTTTGGGCTCAAAGGATGCAAATCACGTGAGCTGCGAAGCCCTTGCTTGTTTGCTCATGTTCCCGCTACCCCGGAGATTGCAAGAGCAACTGCGCAGCCGCTTTTTTACCGCTGCAAGCCTGCTGGGTCAATGGCAAAGGCGTTGTGATCGCCTTACACAACTTCAACGGCGAATCAAGTTTCCACCATTAGAAAGCATAACAGTTGAGAATAGAACCCTTGCACTTCCACTTCAATTGGTGCCTCCTCCTGCACATCTCCCATCTCAAGAAGAAATTGAGTATTTGATTGGCTTTTTTGATGGTGATGGTTGTGTTACCATGCAAGGCAACGGAGGCCAGATTCGCTTGTTTCTTAGCCAGAGTTTTGACTCTGCAATTGTGTTGTTTCGCTTTCGTGATTCTCTTGGTGGTGGCATTTGTCGTCAAAATTGTGCCACTGGAACCAAGAAAGCTACTTTACAATGGCATGCTTCAGGTTCCACAATGCGACATGCAGCCAATGTTTTGTGCAGAGCCCCTTCAATGAAGCAGGCCCAGCTCCAAATAGCAGCAGAGCGTTCCGTTTGCAAGGCAGTCAGTGCCCAAACAGTACAGAAACTAAGTTTCCTCAAGAAGCCAGAGCACAGACCCGAAAGCTTCCAGTGCTCCTGGCCTTACTTTGCAGGATTTTTTGATGCTGAGGGCTCAGTTACCATCAGTCCATTTGGTGCACATCTTCAAGTAGAAATCGGCCAACTGAACCTGTTTGTATTGCAGGAAATTCACTCCTTCCTGCACAAGCATGACTTGAAAGGGTGGAAGCTTGGAGTTGGCAGCCAGGGTTCTTCCAAGCTTTATTGTAAGCAGTTTGCAACCTGCAAGCTGACACTGCAGCGCCTCCTGGATAGTGGACTCTGCATCAAGAAGAAGCAGGTCGAGCTTGCTCTTTCCCTCACAGCGGACAATCACAAGCAAGTTCGTGAAGCAATATCAGAGTTGAATGGATACCAAACACGGTACCAGCGTCTTGACGACAAAGGCGTCGAACGCGCCAAGGAAATTATCAGGGTGGGGCAGCAATTGCGCAATGCATCCTCTGAACAAAAGCTCGAGATGCTCCGAGTGAAGCTCGAAGGTCTTCGTGAAGAGCACGCGCTACAAAACTCGATCACCAAGTGCTGCCGCCTCCGCCGACACATCCGTGAATCACTTCAAGATGGAGGCGTCGTGATGCCGATCAGAAGTCGCATCGGCTGACATGGACCCAGTCATCGATCATGCTTGAAGTCCCGTAGTACTTGCTGTTAGGAGGCGGGATGAAATTGCAGGGCAGTCGCGTTTGTGTGTGGCAAGGTTTGTTTCAGCCGGGATGAGGTAGGTAGAAACAAGGTCGGAGCACACACTTCAAACACGCTGCATTTAGGCCCATACCCTCTCAATTGAGTCTATCTTTGATGCACTTGTTTCTGTTGCTCGACATCATTGAATTGATTGCTGGTCCATTCACTAAGATGCAACGCCAACTCTCATTCGTTATAAATGTCGGCTGGTGGAATGAGGATCCTGTTTGTGGGGCATGGATTGAAAGCACTCACAACGCTGAGGTTTGAGGGCGGCATCACCTTTGGTGTTTTTGTGCATTTGGGATCATGTTGGATTCCTTGTTTCTTTTGACAAACACTCATGTAATGGTTCAGGGTGTTGCTCGTGGATCGTGGGTTTTTCACGGACGGAATCAGTGTGGCAGTCGAGTGCAGCCACGCCAACCCTGTGGTTTCACCTGAAGAGCCCACATCCAATATTGACTGTTCCTTTTATGGATACAGGGACTCTAAATAAGCTGCACCTCCCATAGAACAGCCCTTTGCATGTTTTCATATGTTTTCCACTAGAATCTTATTTAGGATCAAGGTCCTTTGGTGTTGACTTTCGAAACAAACTGCCTGTGAAAGTGACTACACTGCAACTCATGGCATTCACTCCTTTCTTTGGAGTGGTTTTGACAAATTCCAAGCGCAGTAATTATATGTTTCATCCCGCACTTCTGTTGTTGAAGCACCTGGAAGAACATTTTAGAATCCACAAATTGCGTTTTTGTCCATCTTCCTGAGGAGACTAGTGTTCTTGGCAGATGCTTTTCTGCTTTGGCAATGGCGGCAATGTTCCTTGTGCGTGGGGTACTTCATGTAAACCCATTCCCACGATACATTTTGACTACAAGTGAGCTGAATACATGGCAAAGGCGGTGCGATCGCTTGACGCAGCTTCAACGGCGAATCAAGTTTCCACCACTGACAAGCATAACAGTTGGCAATAGCATGTTCAGACTTCCGCTGGCAGCCGTGGGTCCTCCTTCAGATTTCCCAACTCAAGAAGAAATGGAGTATTTGACAGGTTTGTTTGATGGAGATGGCTGTGTAAGCATGACCAGAGGCACTGGCCAGTTGCGGTTGCAGCTAAGCCAGACCTTGGACTCTGCAAAAGTGCTGATGCGTTTCTGTGACCGTTTGGGTGGTGGCATTTATAACGAAAAGTGCAAAACAGGAGCGCGCAAGGCAGTGCTCCAATGGACAGCTTCAGGCAAAACCATGCAACACGCAGCAAATGTGCTATGCAGCATTCCTTCAGCGCAAGGTCCGCGACTCGAAATAGCAGCCAAGGGCAACGTTGCAAAGGCAGATCGATCTCAGGTGGCACATGTGTTGAATTTGCTCAAGCAACAAGGGCACCAGCCTGGGAATTTCCAGTGCTCTTGGACTTACTTTTCCGTTTTTTTGATGCAGAGGGATCAATTTCGGTTGCTGGGTCTTCGTGCACATTACGCATGGAAATTAACCAGAAGATACCCTTTGTGCTGGAGGAGCTTCATTTCTTCCTGCGCAAAAATGATCTGAACAAATGGACACTCAAGCATCTCAGCAGTGGATACTACAAACTTCGCTGCGTGGACACTGCCACTTGCAAGCTGACTTTGCAGCGCTTGCTGAAATGTGGGCTCGATGTCAAGAAGAAGCAGGCGGCCCTTGCTTTGTCCCTCACACCAGACAATCACAAGCAAGTTCGTGAAGCAATACATGAGTTGAATGGATACCAAACACGGTACCAGCGTCTTGACGACAAAGGCGTCGAACGTGCCAAGGACATCCAAAGGGTGGGAAACCAATTGCGCAATGCATCCTCTCAACAAAAGCTCGAGACGCTCCGTGTGAAGCTTGGAGACCTTCGTGAAGAGCACACGCTGCAGAACTTGGTCACCAAGTGCCGCCGCCTACGTCGACACATCCGTCAATCACTTCAAGAAGGAGGTGTCATGATGCCGATCCGACAGAGTCGCATCGGCTGAAATTGACCCATAGATGTAGCTTGAATTCTCAGACTTGCTGTCTTGGAGAGGTAAGGGAAACTGCTCCAAAGTGTGTGGTTGCAATTGCATGACCGTTTTGTTCAGCTGAGTTGAGCTAGGTAGAAACAAGGCCCGAGTCAGGCGCGGCGTTCTCGATTTAATTCAGGTTCTCACGATACTGCAATCACAACCTGCATACACGCCCGCTCCCTCCGAGTCATCCTGTGCTCCGAATGACTGCTCTTTGTCTATTCAATGATGTGAAACCAATTTAAAAAGGCTCGCTCCCTTTTTTCCTTTGAGAGCATAAATGAACTAAGTTCATCTAGGTTCCTCGAGTCTCTGTTGCTTCCATGGTGAACTTGGATTTTGTTTTTGTATTTATCAATCAACAACCCACAGACAAGGTTGTTATTCTTTTGGTGAGAAGTTACTTTGTGCCACTTTATATAATTGTGATGGAGTTCTCCAGTCCTCAGCCACCTAACCTCCACCTTTGTACAGCATCAGGAGTTTTCTGGCTGATGTATCCCTGCATGGTTGGTTTGAACGGGGCGGAATCATGAAGCCCTTCAAGGATGCCGCTTTCTCCAAGCTGTGGATAATGCTCTGAAACACCTTGAGACCCCTGCCTGTGCCAGGAGCCATGAGCTGCTGGGATCGTTTGGGCCTTCAACTTTTTAGGAGGGCATACTTGTCACGAAAGGTAGCCTGGTAAGGACTACCTTGAGTTTGCTTTGCGAAGCAAAGGGACTGGCGGGACTAAAGATTGGTAGATCAATGTCTAACCGCCCCCACCCCCCCCCTCCCATGTGATGATTCATTGATAAATCAATTGATTCGACCCCCCCCCCGTCCCCTCCCCTCGTCGCCAGCACTACTAGCATTCTGGACATAAGGTGAAGTCATGCGCTTAGCAGTCACAGCAGTGCGCAATGAGGTCGCGCAATGCGGCTTCGATGCCGCGCGTGCGCACCCGGCAGCCTGACACAGCCCGTACTGCGTTCACAGACCATATTGCTCGACACCAACGAGCATCGATGCAACACAGCCTCTCTGCAAAGCCCTGTGGAGAAACCCCTCGCGTGGCGGAACACCATTCGACTCAGCCTTATACCCTAGCGTGGCGAAATCCTTCCGCATCGTGGAGCACACCCACCATAGCGTGACGTCCATCCCTGGCAGTGCCGGCCGCACCCCTCCAGCACTATCCTTACAAGGGGGTTGGTCACTGCGGCTTCGACGCAACGCGTGCAGGCCTGTAATCCTGACACTAGTGCGTGCAGCTGTGGGACCATAGCTGGTACACATGCGAGCGTTTACGCATTGCGACTTTTACGCGCGCCTGTTTTCACACACCTTTACACAAACGAGCGTCGACGCAACGCAGCCTCTCTGCAGAGCCGTGTGGCGCAATCTGACCGCAACGGTGTTCCTCTTGAGCCTTCTTGTGCTCTCTGGCTTTGTTGGATTCAGCCATGATTGACCAAGGGGCACGTTCCTGAAGCACCGGAGACAGTCCCTCACCAGAAAAGGTCCCGACAGCTACCCGGTCCGTCTCTACCTTTCGTGTTTCCCCGCTCAAGTGTTCTTTTGGTGGCCTGTTGAACCCATGTTAACAAATATTGAAGAATAGATTAGGACTCGACTGTGCTACAGAGCCTGTATTCTCAATATCACCAATTCACAGACAATCATCCGTGGAGACCCGAACCAACCCGTTCCTTTTTCCTTTGAAGATGTTTAGTGCCTCGCAATCCATTTTATTGGTGGGATCAAGGTCTTAGTTGAAGGTGTTTGGCAAGGCTTGTGTTCTTAGCCTTTCTCTTTTACCAATGTTGCATTTGTACCGAATGCTTCATGCAATTCCTTTCCAACGATGCATTGTGACTACGAGTAAGGTGAATAGATGGCAAAGACGCTGCGATCGTTTGACACAGCTTCTAAGACGAATCAAGTTTCCCCCATTGAGCAGTTTCACACTTGACAATACAGCATTCAGACTCCCAGTTGAGGCAGTTGCTCCTCCTCAAGGCTGTCTTACTGAGAAACAGATTGAATATTTGATTGGCTTCTTTGACGGAGATGGGTGTGTGACCATGAACAAAAGCACTGGGCGGATGTCCCTGAAAGTTAGCCAAACCTTAGACTCAGCAACAGTGTTGATGCGCTTGCGTGATAGTCTTGGTGGTGGCATTTATCGCGAAAAGTGCCAAACAGGAGCACACAAAGCAGTGCTGCAGTGGGTAGTTTCCGGCAAAACCATGCAACACGCAGCGCGTGTGCTGTGCCAAGTTCCTTCCATAAAGCATGCGCAGCTCCAGATAGCAGCCACTGGCAACATTGCAATGACAGACAGGAGTGAGGTTGCGCAGAAGTTGACTTTGTTCAAGCAAAAAGGACATACGCCTACAGACTTCCAGTGCTCATGGCCGTACTTTGCTGGATTTTTTGATGCTGAGGGTTCGATTACTCTTCCCAAACGTTCTGTCGGGCTTCAGCTAGAAGTGGGTCAACTTAATGACTTTGTTTTGGAGAAGCTATTCTGTTTTTTACACCTGCAGAAATTGATCAGATGGAGACTTTATAGAAGGGACCATGTTTCCAAGCTTTCCTGCACAGACTTTGCAACTTGTAAGCTGACGCTGAAGCGCCTACTGGAGGCTGGTCTTGACGTCAAACAAAGACAGGCGGCTCTAGCTCTTTCACTCACTGCAGACAATCACGTGCAAGTTCGTGAGGCAAAATCTGAGTTGAATGGCCTCCAAAGCAAGTATGAGCGCCTTGACGATGCCGGCATCGACCGGGCTAAAGAAATTAAACGGATCGGTGCACAATGGCACAGAGCCTCCTCCCAACAAGAACGTGAGTTGCTGCAGGTGAAGCTTGAAGGTCTTCGAGAGGAGCACAAGCTGCAGAAATTGATCACCAAGACCGTACGCCTACGCGGCAGCATTCGTCAATCACTTCGAGAAGGAGGTCTCATCAGGCGGATGTCATGATATGTCATGATGTGACGGAGTAGCATCAGAAGAGTCCACCCAAGGAGAGTAGAGTTGCATGTTATATTCTGCCTCGCATATGGCAGAGGATCAAGGATCGAGTTCGCCCATCCGTCGGACTTCAGAATCCTCGCCTGCATGTAACAATGTGTGAGGCCTTTCAGTTTTGGATGTGTGAGGCATAGCTGTTGTTCTGTTTGGGACATGTTGAACCCCTCAAACTTGTTATTTTCGGGGCAATGTTCGGTCGGTGATCTCGTTTCTTAAATTTTGCCGGAGTCGGAGTAGGTTGGAAGATGTTGGAATTCACACTGAACACCTCGTTTCAGTATTTCTTTGTGCGCCAGGTTTCTTGAGAAGACATGATAGAACAAGCATTTTAGCCGATTTGCACAAGATTTTTTGCACCATTGTTGCTTCTTTCAGACAAAGAAAGTAAATCAATATCTTGCTCAGGCAGTGATGGGAGGGCAGATATTGCAGTATATGTTAACCATGCAGGGGTTGGCCACTAGAGGAGCTATGCCCGCGCGCTGTTTTCTCACCAAAACAGACTCATGGTTTGCAGTCCTTCACCAGGACACAACTGAACAGATAGCTGCAAGATTCTCCCGTGATCCATATTTCTTGGTCTTGACATCCAGCGGAAACAGAATGTGCATTGGTCAAAACTCCTGACAGTCACCTCTGCTTGGAAGAAACATGTTCCATCCCGAACGTGCAGTACCAGAAACAGGGGTAATGCGACAGAGATTTTGGGGCAACTGTTTTTTGTTTGAGAATCTACATGTTTTTGTCGTTGGACAAGGTTTGATTATGTGATTTATTTACTTTTCCTGGTGCACTTGTATTTTCCTGAGAAGACATTTTTGCCACTGGCACTAGAACGTCCTTTCGGCATGAAGCTCAGCCTGAAGGGTGTTCTGTTGGGAGGGTCATGCTTTGATTGCGGATTTTGAAACTCAACATGTCACTACCCGCAGGATCCGCCTGTATGGGTAAACCAAGAAGTTTCGCAAGAGTGCTTTGAGCACACAATCCAGTCAATCCATGCTTCCCCGGTCCCATCACGGAGGAAACTGACACCGCAGGTCGGCTCCAGGTACTTCCAAGTTAGCGTCCAATTCTCTTTATATACACATTATGCATGCATGCTTTTTGGTATGCAAGTGTCGCTGCATGGGAGGTTGCATGTGGAGCTTTTTTGTCGCCCTTTGGTGTGCCGGCATCGAGTGAGATCAGGAGATGGGAAAGATTTTGTGACCGCTTGACACAGCTTCAACGGCGAATCAAGTTTGCGCCACTGGAAAGCTTCACAGTTGGCGATAGAACATTTCCACTGCCACTTGAAACAACAGGTCCATCATCAGGCTGCCCATGTCAAGAAGAGATTCCGTATTTGAATGGTTTCTTTGATGGCGACGGGTGTGTGAGCATGGAAAAGAGCCATGGAGTGATTCATATGAAGATTTGCCAAAGCTTGGACTCCGCTGCAGTGCTGATGCGGTTCAGGGATTTTCTTGGCGGTGGAATTTATCGGCATAGTGACCGAACTGGGACAAAGGAAGCAACGCTGCAATGGAAAGTTCATGGCACGACCATGCAACACGCGGCAGATGTGCTGTGCAAATTTCCATCCATGCAGCGGGCACAACTCCAGATAGCCGCAGGAGGCGCTGTTGCAAGGGCGGACAGAAGTGATATGATACAGACGCTGAAACAATTGAAGCAGATGGACCATGTGCCTACAACTTTTCAATCTTCGTGGCCTTACTTTGCTGGTTTCTTCGATGCTGAGGGCTCAATCACAGTTGGGGGAACGTATGTTGGGCTTCACCTGCAAGTACATCAAAAGAATCCATTCGTCTTGGAGGAATTGCATTCCTTCCTGCTCAAACACAAGTTGAACAAATGGGCGCTTCATTCGGACAACAGCAGAGGTGCTTGGAAACTCCAGTGCAGACACCGTGCAACTTGCCAGCTGACGCTGCGGCACCTCCTTGATAGTGGCCTTGACCTCAAGAAGAGACAGGCAGACCTAGCTCTTTCGCTCACCGCGGACAATCAGATGCAAGTTCGTGAGGCAATGTTTGAGTTGAATGGCAACCAAAACAAGTACGGGCGCCTTGACGGTCCAGGTATTCAGCGTGCCAAAGAAATTAGTAGTGTCAGGCAACAATTGAAAAAAGCCTCCCAACAAGAACGTGAGTTGCTGGAGGTCAAGCTTGAAGGTCTTCTAGAAGAGCACAAGTTGCAGAACTTGGTCACCAAGTCCCTGCGCCTGCGCGGCAGCATCCGGCAATCACTTCAAGAAGGAGGTTTCATAGTTTGACGACTTGAGGAGTTTCGCTTGCTGTATATGCTGAGGCCGGGAGATGTGAGCACTCCTCAACCTCAAGGTCTTGCTATGCTGCACTCCTGCTGTCCGATGTTTTCAGGACTTCCAAGAGAAGCCATTGCAGGAGTTGGCCGAAAAAGAAGCAGCAGCACTACAGACTCCGGCCACTGCAGTTGGCGATGCCAGTAAGTGCATTGAATGGGGTCTTGGGGAATTGAATTGAACTGTTCATGCTTCTGAGCCTTTTTCCACTGTTTAATGGCCCGCCGCTAGGGAGCACCGCCTTCGCAGACCTGCAGTGTGTGATGATTGTGATGTCAGCGTGTTGGTTTTGTTCGAAAACATTTTCTAGAGATCTCCTCCTCTCTCGTCAAGTCTCGCCGAGGTTTGGAGCAGTCAGGGCGTGTAAAGAGGTCTTTGGAGGACTCATTGCCCGGAGGCCTAAGGCATGCAGCAGGCACTGGCGGAGTTCTCAGTGCTTCAAGCTGACACCTCCAGTGAGGTTAGTGCTGGTCAGGTTTCCTGGATGAACTCAGTTTGGGCAATAAGTAGAAAGAGTGTGCAAGAGTCGTGTGTTGCCGTTGTTTGTTTGGGCCAATTATATAATCATCTCTAGTCCGTCCTGTCAATATACAATTACTGAAAGCTGGTTGCGACAACGGCTCTAGGGCTAAGCCCCCCACCCTGGCTGATTTCACTGACGCTCGCTGAGGCATCGACTATGTTTTTCATTTTCCAAAACAAGAGCATCGCGGCTGCCTGGGGCACCTAGCAGATGCTTGTGCACGAGGGAGAGGGGGTTGTGAGAGACAGCGTCACCATGAATGGAGAAGCAGTGAACAAGATACCGGACTCCTCTCCCCATGCATAGTTTGTTTAGATGTTCCTTCCACGTGTTTTTGTTTGATTCGGGTCCAAGTCCCCTGAATGCCAAAGAAGTCTTAGAATATTTACCTGCGTTATTTTGCCTTTGGATCTTGCGCCGGTAAACCATTTGCAACTCGCATGTCCGGTGTTTCCAGAATGCCACGTCCATCTGTCAGGCCATGCGCGATGGTGCCGCCTCTGGTGTAGCGAGGCTCTGCTACGGCTGGCTCTTGCGTTGATTGGACAAATCAACATAACAATGTTTGTTTGGTGAATTTTATTGGGACATGACATTAAAATTGGCTGGTTGTCCTATTGTTGTCTATGGGATACAGTGGGATTTCTTTTTCTAGTCAGGGTCTCCCTTCTTTGAGACCCCAAGATGGAAGAGACACATCTTCCCTTGAAAGGCTAGTTTCCTCTCTGGACCAGTGGTGGTTAATGGGAGTGCACGTTGAAATTTTCCTGCCTCAATAGGCAGACCTGACAGCTATCGAGTTGTTTTCCTTCTCCCTATCTATTGCAGGATTGACAGGATCACTGGAAACACAGAGGTCCTGTCGACTCCAATATGAAGTATTCCCTACCGTGTTGGAGGCCGCAGATGCAGCTCAGCTGCACCACCACAATGCACGAAACGCGTGGCTTGCGTGCCAGGTACTTCGCAACAGGTCGGCCCCTGGCAAACCAGCACCAGACCTGGAAGGCGAGATCCAAGAGCTGAGAAATTGGTGGATCGAACCAACCAACCCACTAACTAACCGATCCACCAACCAACTAACCAAACATAAGTGTCACATAAGCCAATGTACCAACCAATTCATGCCAATTATATGTGTTTTTGCAGGAGTATGTTTACAAACAATTATATCCTCATCATTCAACAACGAGAAACTTATACAGAAGCGATATCGCTTGATTGACTGCTTGGGTGGGGCCTGCTTGGGTTCTTGACTTGACCCACACAAATAGAGCTTTCGAAAGCTTTGGACAAAATTCTCAACAGGTGGTCTGCACAGTTGTGCTTGTAGGGTTTGATCGAAAGAGACAGCGTGTGCTTTTTGGCAAATGATGCCAAAGCTGCACACAAACCGTAATCGAGCATGGTCGTCCTGTTTCGTGTGAGTTTGAACCCAGCTTGTGTCTACTGGGCGATACTAGAGAAGTAAAGACAAGAACTGTCAAGTACTCCTTACACACTGCACTGCAACCATTCAGAAGTGCTGCTCCTGCTCACTGCTCTTGACAGAGAATCACCCAAGAGCTCCTTAATGACACTTAATTAGACAGAAGGTCCAAAAAAGTCCTATAGGGTAGTGTTGTTCAGGTTGTTCTTCCATGAAGTTTAAAGTTTCCTGCCGAGCAGTTGCTGGTCTGGCCAGGACAGCTACATCACTTATTGGAAATCCCATTATTCCCCGGCCATTCGCGGGGCGCCCAGACGTGTTCCAAGATGTACTTTTCCACGAGCCATGCTGAGATATCCACCTCCATTCTTTTCGGGTGGTCATGCCAGGCATGTCACCACCAACCTCCGAATGTCTTCATGTCGTTCCATTGTTGCTGCTTTTCCAAAAGAATATCTTAGACATTGCTATAGTGCCATAGTGCCCTTCCTTTTGTCTCCTTGTGTGTCATTGCACATCGAGAGGACTTCCAAAAACGTCACCAAACGCCCCATCAATCATCACCGGCCTCTGTCTGGGTCTCCTCGCCCAGCTGAGGTCTCATGGTTCTTTATATCGTCTACAACTTGTTAGCGAGCCAGACCTTCCAGGCACCTTTTCGGCGGGGA